GAGCGTCGATTAAAATTTGAGGTATGTCACGTTCTCAAATAGTTAAATTAACACGAACTCCATGAACATACTTCCAAAACACGAAAAAGTAATGATGGTCGAGAACACCCCTCCTCTAGAAGCAATGAGCCCGAGGGTAACACCTCCCCCCGAAAACCCCCCCGATCCTCCCCTAATCCTCCCCACCGGGGGATTATCGAGATAAAGAGGCTACCGTACCGGAATCAATGTGAAAATGTCGACCTTTTAGGAGATGTCGTGGGCCGGAAAAGAGTTTATTAGCCTACAATAGCATCACCACGTTTGTCAGCTGATCCTTTAGATCTATCTCTATCTCCAGACCCTCAGCCCAGGCCAGCTGACCTTTGCAAACCCGAAAATAAGGCCCTTGGGCCAAATTCGGAACTCAAATTCATTGGACCAGGTTCTCGTTCTCCCCGTCGACCTTTTGCAAATAAACCAAATTTGCCGCGGGGAGCCGGGGTGGGGGTCGGATTTCAATGGAGGGGGGAGATATGCAAAGCGAGACTTCGCAGCCGGGGCTCAACCCCGGAGGGCTGTGGAATGTTTTTGAAAAGCGAAGTGAAACTTGGACCCTCGGGGGGTGTTAGGCACAATCGAGCGGCAGTTGTAGAGACTGCTGCCCTCGTCGCGAAGGCTGCTGGCCGCTGGCTGCGTGGTGGCCATCAGAATAGGGGCGGGGCACTCGGGCCGGACGACATGGCCATCAGGATGGCACCTCTTCTTCTTCGCCGACCCGGATTATCCCCCCTCCCAGTGCCATCTCCCCCTTTTCACACATCGCAACAGCTGAAAAGCATGGGGGGAAGATGGGGTGGAATTAACGTTTAGCAGTAGTAAGGAGGTAATGGGGTAATGAGACTAAAAATAGGATGATGTGACTCATTCTAGAGCTGGAATGTTCATAAATTAGCCTACTACAACAGTTATGATAATTTCAACCGCAGCAAGCGAAAATTTTCTATTTCCAGAAAATGGATTTTCGAGGCCCTGAAAAAGTCTTGGAATCGAATTCTTAAAAGATAAAAAAATTGCTTGACCCAAAAAAATACGCTTTTGATTAACAGAATACCTTAAAATTGCTCTCCTTACTTACCCCCAAAATCTCAGCCCAGTAGACACTTCACAACTACGCTTCTCGCAGCACCAATCAGACTGCAATTCATCTACCCAGCTACCCACGTGCTTCAAAATCTCATCCCCCAAAAAATACATTACAAAGTGCTTTGTCCCCCACTAGCCTAAAGCTCGAGCATGTTTTTGAGCCCTTCCCTAGCAGGAACCAACCCCCAAATTCACGTGACAACCAAATTCCTCCCCACTGCCCAAATCTATCCTCATAATCTGAATATCCCCCGCCTAGGTACTCCCGGTTGCCCGGTGGCTGCCCACCCGAGTTTAGCTATGGCCCCGGGGCTTCATCCTTCCCCCTGGCCACCCCAAAAGCAAAAAGACCGCCCCGCCATTTGCCGCCTAATCGCGTTCCCGTCATTGTCGTCGGAAAAATCTCATATTTCGTCCCCCCTTCACAGAGCGCATTATGTCGGATTGGCTGCTGGGGGGGGGAGAGAGGGGAAGAGATGGCTTGAGGTGGAGAATGTGGAGGATGGTCAGTGAGATGAAGCCTTCAGGACGGGGACTGAAGGTTCGTGTTGTCTTCTGGGGGAGAAGCCAGCCCAAAAAAAACGAAACGATGAGAAAGTGGGTAATTGAAAAGGGGAGGTTAGGTAATATGAGACGATGAGGAGGAGGGCTGGTGCTCATTGCTGGAATGCTTCATGAATTGGTGTATGGTTTAGGGGATGGTCGAAGAAATTTGGTGCTCAAATTTTGTTAGATGTAGTGAATACGGCTATGCAAGAATCTAAAGCAGCTCTAAAACGCTGAACTTGGCGAAAACGGCTTACATATGCCTAAGCCTAAGCCTAAGCCTAAGCTGAATCCTAAGCCAATCATAAGCCTGGGTCTATGAATTACCTCTATCCAGGGACGTAGCGTAATACAGGCCCCGTGGGCCCGGGGCCGCCCCCCCCGAAATCGGCCGGGGCCCGAAAATTTCATAAGGGGGGACCCGTATGATTTTTATTTTCTCAGAAATTTTGCTGCCTGCGGCGCTATTTTTTCACGTTTTTACGGCTATTTGTAGAGCTATGTAACCTCGTTTTCAAAAATTTTTGCCTGCGGCGCTGTTTTTTCAGCAATGTTTTGAGTTTTTTGGAAAAAAATTTTCGGGGCCCCCCCCCCGAAATTTTTTTCTGGCTACGCCCCTGCCTCTATCTATGCCTAGGTCGAAATCACCGCCTGAGCCTAAGCTAAGTTTAAGCTTAAGCCTAAGCTAAGCCTAGGCCTAAAACCTAAGTTTAAGCCTAACAAGGAAACCTCCCCAGCCCGAAGTTGGACTTCGATTAGCCATATAGCCTATCCGATGCAGTTTTTCACGCTGATAACGATACCGATATTTATTTTTGCCGAGCGCCACAGGAACATTGTTAAAAATCGATTTAAATTTTGTCATGTTGGGCAGCCCCGCCTCAAAGCCCCTCCCCACGGGGAAGGATCCATCGGCGGCGTGGTGTAGTCGGCAATTACTTGGCCTACCAACCTAGAGGTCGCTAGTTCGAGTCTTGCCGCTGACGACTTTTTTGCTTTTTGCTTCAAAAGTGCTGTAAGGTCCTACCAGTCATCAAGAAATATGGTTTTAAGTTTTTTTGAACTATTGGTCACCAATTCAAGTTGCTCGATTCGATTTCTCGGAAAGACTGTTTTTCAGCCGAAGACATTTGGAATTATCGGTGGATCACCAACTATTTAATGCACCAGCCACTCTTTTGAAAACTTTTTGAAAAAAGGAGAAGGAAATACTAGGTTCAGTCTTCAAGTTTTTTTTACATCTTATGTCAAGCTTCATTTCTGCACCAAGGTAAGCGTTTTGAGGTCATAAAATTCATGAGGATCGTATCGAGACCTGTGGTTCGTTGTAGCCATAACTACCTGAATTAACTACCAAATGTGCAAAAAAAAACTTAAAAATATCTTTCTTCTGGACTTTTCGGAAATTCACAGCACTTTTGAAGCAAAAAGCAAAAAAGTCGTCGGCGGCAAGACTCGAACTAGCGACCTCTAGATTGGTAGGCCAAGTACTTGCCGACTACACCACGCCGCCGATGGATCCTTCCCCGTGGGGAGGGGCTTTGAGGCGGGGCTGCCCAACATGACAAAACTTTAAATAGATTTTTAACAATGTTCCTGTGGCGCTCGGCAAAAATAAATATCGGTATCGTTATCAGCGTGAAAAACTGCATCAGATAGGCTATATGGCTAATCGAAGTCCAACTTCGAGCTGGGGAGGTTTCCTTGTAAGACTAGCCTAAACATCATCCCAAGTAAAAGGGTAACGAAGACGACCGAAGCCCGGAAACTACTGACCACCTCCAAAAACAGCTCGGCCCTCTTGCTGTAAAAGGCGGGGAGGGGCAATCTCCCAGCGGAATAGGCTAATGCCCTGGGAACACTGGAAGCCGGGCGACTAATTGAGGCCGGTGGGGAAAACTAGCAAATTTCCGGCAAAATAAAATTACTTGACGACAGCACGTCGGTCACCGCGCAGCCACCTGAAAAGCCGGTGGTCGTGCAAAGGGCAAAGGCTGTTTTTGGGAGCTGGTGAAGTTCCGGTTCAATTTCCTCGTGTTTTTGTGCTTTTTAAAGGTATTCTTAAGCTGTAGCTTGAAGCTGTTCTATGGGAATTTTAAGCTGCTGGTATTCTTTCTGAATTTCACATACCTTACTTTTTCCTTCACACCTCCGGTTTTTTTGCTAATTTTATACGGTAGCAGGTGGCTAATTGTCCTCTTTTGCCAGTAAATATTTAATTTAACATAGCGTTAGCTACAGTAACTGCTTCGGTAGTTAAATTATGTTTTTATGCTAAATTTTCTGAATTTGACGAAATTCTTGGAATGCTATGAATTTTGGCTTAATGCTTGTAATAAAATCTGTTTCGAATTTCTTTCGCTTTTAAACAATAGATTTACCCTAAATTTAGCTATAGTAATTTATTACGGTAGTTTAATTATACATTTCTTATGCAAATTTCTCAACAAACCCCAAATTCCCGGGGCCACTTTGCAGCTAGCCGGATCTAGGTTATTGTAATGGAGCAAGGTGAGTGTGGTGGAGGTTGAGGACGATGATGAGGGGAGGTAGTGTGAGATCGGAGAGAGCATGGAGTCTGGGCAGTCGACAGGTCAGCCCTCTACTCGCTCACTGGACATCCCTTGCCTCTTTCTCGATTCGCAACCTTTGACACGCCTGGATCGGCTTTCTTTGCACTTCAAATTAAGCGTATTTATGTAATAGGATACGTAGCCAAAAAGGTAAGATAGAAAAGTTTTGGTATTGGATTACGGTAGTTAATAAAACCTTATAACTCGTCGTTTTAGCTAGTTCTCGAGTTTTCTATGTAAATTTAAAGGCATTGACGGCATTATCTTTTGATACTTTTTTGGACTAAAATTGAAGAATTTAAAGCATGATCTACTTTTCTAAATTCCGAAAGTTTACTTTTCTTTCCACAAAACGGTTTTGTTGACCCAAAGAAAACTAATTTGCACTGATTGACTCATGCCAACTTTTCCAGACTTTCCAGCTTTTCCATCCAATATTTTTCTCTTATTTCTCGTAGAATGAATCCTAAAAAGCACTCCCACGACTTCCGACACTCCCCCTTCAACGTCTCCACGTTGCCATATCGGAAAAATATATACTCGGTGATTTATTGAGGCCGTTTGGTTCCCACTGTTTTTCTACCCCCACTTCAATCCATATATTGCCACATCCACCACCCCTCAATCTCCCAATTTGTGTCCCATTCTCTGTTTGGACAGCTTTAGATGCTCATTCCCGAATTCCGGAAACTTCCCGGCCGTCTAGTCCGGTTTTCGAGCTTTAACCCCTGATTTTTAGCTATTACAGGCCTTCGGATGAGCCCAAAAGCGGGTACGGCAAAGGAAAAGCAAAAAGTAAGCTCCTACTTTCCTTTCAAAACTTTGTTTTTTTTAGGAAAAGAAAAAATACGTCCCACCAAATCCCCATGAATTGGACCATGGGAAATTATGGTGGTTTAGTGTCATTTTGTTAGGTGAGTATTTTCCATATTTTTTGATTCTTAAAACTTTATTCACCCGTAAAAATATATCAAAGCAATTCCTGGATTTGATGTAATTTTAATTTTTAAAACAATTCGCGATATCGGGTCTTCGAGGGGTTATAGCATGCCGCGAACGTTTGATTCATACCCTTGACGAAGTCGAGAATTTCCTATAATTTTTGGTTCCGTTTTCCGATATTTTTAAATTACCTGTTGCTCCTCTTCTTCTTTGATTTCAATTGTTGCTCGGTAATATGCTTTTAATGAGCTAAGAAGACCATGTTGTCGTAATCTTTCGAGAGCACTGTAATTTATGCAAATTAGTAAAATTAGTTTTAAACTCACTCTTTTTCTTCTTGCCCTGCTTCATATATAATCGTCATTAATGCAAGCGGAGGATAATTCTCCGACTTCCATCTTGAAAATTCGGATCTTTGCTCGGAAGTCATATCATTTATCTAAAATCTATTATCGTATTCAAATTTTGAAGTTTACCTGTGAATTCATCGCCTTATCCACAGCTATCAAGTCATCCTGATCAGCCGCCATTTGCATAGCTTTCCGCTCTTCAATCGGAACCCCTTCTACCATTTCTCGGACGCACTTTGGCGATTCCGCCCAGCAATGGGCTACCTAAAAACCGTATTTTAGATTTTTTTATTTTCTCACCTCATTGTGTGTCCAAAATATCCCCTGTACCGCCTCCCAAAACCGCCGCCACATTGATTTCCTGGCATTCAAATGCGCTAATTTGTCCTAAAATAGCTCTTTCTAGGAAAAGTGGTGTATACGGTACCTCAAAATAGCTGAGAATTGCTTGCTGATCTATGGGAGGGAGGATGGAGTATAGTTGTACGTTCCAGAGACCTCGAATTATTGAGTAGATGGTTGCATTCTGGAATTCTGATAGCTTATGCTGATTAAGATAGATTTACATGGTAAGCCTCCAAAATTCGAATATATTTCTCTCCGTGGTTTGATCGTAGTAAATTGTCGATTTCCGTTATATTCACATCATTCTCAGCTTCGAGACCGTATTGGGATTCAAACTAAAGCAAAATTCTGGATCTAAATTTGTGAAATTCCTACCTCTTCCACTTTTGCATCTATCAACTCCTTCACCTCTGCATAGTGCTTCTTTTGAATCAAATTATCCATTTCCGCCGTTTCATTTACAGTCGCGTTACATAGCGTCATTAGTATCGGAAAGTACTGGTCAAGCAAATATTCCGTGCGTTCGGAAATCACACCTTAAAAAATTTCTTCCGTTTTTATGCATATCAATCTTACCAGTGTTATTCTCATGGATCTTCGGCTCAATCGGATTACTGTAGATCCCAGAAAACATTAGTAAGAGCAGGAAAAGACAGCACGGAAGCATGACGCGGGGGTTGGGTTCTGAAAGCAGTGGTATAGCTGAGTCAGCGATGGGTATTCCGACAATCGGAGAGGTCGCAGGGGCATTTGGAGGGATTTGCGGCAATTTGGAGGTCGAGGTACGCTTTTCGGTGTGTGGGGAGTAGAGGAGAAGAGTCAGTCACCGGGAGAAGTTAATATTTGAGCCATTAGCTGGGGGTTTGCTTGCCGTAGCGTTTGGCTAACAGTTTCGGGGGTGAATTGCGTTGGCGATCAACGAGCGTAAAATTGGGGGTTAGGAGAAGTTGGTATTGTTCAAAAGCCATTTAATTTTGAGATCTGAGCCATAAAAAACTCCAAGAAAATTCTATCAATTTAAAAAATGCGTTAGTTGTCGCTGAAAAATCGGGCCAGCTAAAATTGGGGATAAAAGAGCGTAATATCGGGGGTTAGAGGAAGTTGTTAGTGCTCAAAAACTATTCCATTTGGAGATATACGCTATAGAAAATGCGATTAAAACTTGTAAAATTAAATAAATGCATTAAACCAGCGATTTTATTGATCCGCATTTTTTGAGAATCGAGTAACACATAAATCATAGGTTCCAAAAATACAAGAAAAATAAATTGGATAAACATCAAGTAGCTAAGAAAAACAACCCTATATAACCTTAAAAATTACCAAAAAAACCGTTACGCTGAAGTCCCACCAGACTTCCCTACTATAAAAATAAAATTCAGCCAGCTGCAAATTAACCTGCCCCCCAAAAACCCACCCAATCATCTGAATCAACCCACCAACCCAACAGTTCAAAAATACCTGCCCAAAAACCAATGATTCACCGCCCGAAAATACGTAGTGCTCAAAATCCACCCCGCGCGTGGCCAGGGCACACAGAGCGCGCTCGCGCTGACCGTTATTGTGCCGGGTAATTATTATCCGTTTTTGGGCGCAGGGCAACAACTGACGGGGCAGCGACCGAGGGCCAGACCGGTTTTCTGCAGTCAATCCCCCGGGCTCTCCCTCGACTCTTTTCCCTCATTTGCATTTCGCCCCCGCATCAAAAAAATGAGTTTGGGTTACGGGAAATAGGTATGATACGCTATAGAACTTTTGAATTTATTAAAATAACCTTAAAAATAAATTTAGAAGGTAAAGGGGGAACAGAGAATTTGAGAAAGTTGCGTATTGTCAAAAAAGCATTTCTAGGATTTTTGAAATTGGCCCGGAATTCCGGAAATCTTAAATATGTGAAAACGGCAATTTTTTCGAAGATTCGGTGTCACTTTAGAAATTGCTGAATTAATCAGAAAATGTTTAAAAAAATTATTTTTGAATTTGCATCCAATAATTTAGTTACGCAGCTTTTAACACTTTGCATTTCGTTGGCATTAAACGATGGAAAATCAAGTAAAAAGGAAGAATTCTGATGCTCCAAAAATGCACCCAAATGCATTTCCCAAGTGCCGATCGGGAGGAGCACGAAATCGAGATTGACCTTTCCGGAGGAAAATATTGGCCCGCCGAGACTCACATGGCAATTTTTGGGGGCGGCTCAAAACAATCAACATCCAGATCCGCCCTCTTTGTCTGCCGGAAACAGTGGTGTTGGGGGGTTAAAGGGGATGAGCCCAGAGGTCACCTGTCTCCCGCCAATGATCACGGAAAAGCTTAGCTATAAGCAAAATAAAATAGCCTTCATCCGTTTAGCCAGCTAGATCGGGTTTGACCCAAAAATATTCGTAGAGGCGCGTGCGGCGGGCGTGAGCAAACCGTGAGGGCCGAGCTCGGCAAACAAAAACACCTAGTTATGGCTGGGGGAGGACTGGATATAGTTAGAAAACTGTAATATATTCAAAATCTCGTTATATGCGAATTTCAGCACTATTCTTCTCCGTCTGCAACTCCCTCTACCTTCACAAATTGTTTGAAAATGATCGTCACTTCTCGCATCTCGCCGATTTTGAAAGAGAAATGTCGTATAGAACTGAAATGGTAATATTTTAAAAAGCTAAGTCAGTTATTTATGATTTTAATTTAGGGCTTATACTTCTCATATTATAAAACGTTGATAAACGCCCCGACTTTTTTGACGGGACTACGAGAAATTACTGAGGACAGTGTGACGGAGTACGGACATACTATCAACACCTTAAAGAGGTTTAATTTATATCCTGAGGTAATTTTGGGGGTTGATTATGTAAATTAAGAGCCTAGGTAACACTCGGATTTTTATATCGGCAATTCCATGGTATCGCCAAAGTGATGAACTGGAAAACAGAGACCTGTTGGCAGGTATTACAGAACAAAGAAATGCAAATTAAGCATAATTTCAGATTGGTCGTGGTGAAGGCTGGAGCCCTGTACAAAGTTGTGCTGGTATGTACATTTTGCCAGATTGTATCTAGATTAAAATTAAGGCCTCGGCAACTCCCATTATTTCTACATCGCTGGCGCCTTTGCCATTGCCGGTACAGTAGCTGGGTCCCTATTTTTGTTGGGGACATTGTTAAGGTAATTTGCATCAAAAGGTAAAAAGAATTATGCTAATTTAGTGATTCCATCCTCGGAGGACTTTTATCTGTCGGGTTTTTCGCGTTTAACCACGGGGAATCCACAAGAGTTCAATGGACTCCGCCATTGCGAGAATCGTTCTCATATCCGTTAATTATATTTTTGATTGTAATTGTGACGTATGTATTGAGGTATGTTTTTGATATTAAAAAAAATATACTGAATTTTAGAACCCAACGATCCGGTCGATTTTGGGTACTTGTCATTTCTGCCATTGCGGTTCCGGCCATGCTCTCGTGGCAGTTTGCTCAATTCTCCTTCTTTACACAGGTATCTTTCTCCTTCTTTCACTCTCTCTCACTCTCTCTTTCTCTCTCGCTTTTTCTCTCGTTTTCCAACTTAATACTAAATTATACTTCCAGATATGTGCAATTTTTGCGACATACGCTCTCGACTATGCACCAATCTCAACTGTAAAGACCTTGCTTTATGGTCACTTGGTAGAGACAAATTTGCATACCTATTTGCAGCTCTTTAGGTCTCCTTCGCCGTCTCTTTCGTCTTTTTATTCGGAAATGAAATGCTCTTAACTTCCCTCTATTTTTCATCCCTCCTCAGCTTTTCGGTAAGTGTCAATAGGTTTACTTTGTAGCCCCGACCTTTTTTAGATCATTCTCTTAATCGACTCCCCAATGCAAAAAGTCACATTCCGTCCGGTGTACGTTCTAGTCGAAATTGCCATTTTTCTGCTGGGCACTATTTTTATCAAAGAGGGAGTTTCGAGATTGCTGAATGTGGAGGACGATGTAATTCACGTCTCATTTTTTATATAAGTGCTTTAGGCTCATATTTTCGAGATTTTGAAAAGCAAATTCACCGATTTTGCATCATTCCATACACGTCTCTATACATGCGCAGCTGAATTTGACTTTATGCCAAAAGATGTGAGTTGTCAAATGCAAATTTATAATTTTTAGTAAATTAATATTAATTCTATTATTATTTGTGATTTAGACGATATATCTACTTACCTATTCATTACTACTCCCAGCTGGACTGATGATGCCACTGGACCAAATCCTGAAGATCTTCATAAGCGAAAGGATTTTATGGAGAGAAGTTGAGAATCGAGATAAGAAAAGCCCAGAGGTAATCCAACCAAATTATGCTAATTTTCTCTAGCTATTTTTCAACACCATTCAACTATTGTCTTCTGGGTGTATGGCTCTATTAATTATGCGGCTCAAGCTCTTCTTTACACCTCATTTGGCGGCTACAGCGGCTATGCTTCTCAACGAGAAAGTGAGAAGAAGCTTATAAAACGCAATTAAAATAATTCAAGCTTGTATCCCAAGTAACACGCAGAAGCTATGGATTTTTCATACGTTTTGCGGTGTTGGGTGGAATTCTCTCAGCCGCCGCCTACAAAGGAATCCCAGCTATCCAACGGCAATTGAGCATCATTGGCGAATATTCAAATCCTGATCAAGAACTATTGTTTAATTGGATTAACGAGCAAACCGCTAAAGGTATATTTAGCTATAGTTTTAATTTTAATGCTCACAAATTGAGACGCCGTCTTTGGTGGTACTATGCCAGTAATGGCAAATGTCAAACTCTCAACGATGAGGCCTATTACGAATCATCCTCATTATGAAGACGTCGGAATACGGTAGTTGAAGCATTGATGTACTTTAAACTTCAAAATTACAGTGAAAGAACTCTAAAAGTGTATTCGATGTTTTCGAAAAAGCCGATAGCTGAAGTCCATGCAATGTTGAAAGGAATGGGCATGAACTATTTCATTTTCCAAACGATGAATTGCGCGCCGCATCATGCTAGGTGAGGGCCGGTTTTCTCATTATACAAATTTCTGTAATTTCAATTATTTCTATTAATTTTAGGGCCGAATGCAGCTACCGTTCGATGTGGGACCTTCACGACCCGACAAATCGAAATCGGCCGAGCCTTTGTGATACCTGGGAAAAAGCCATCGGGGCGCAACCGGCGAATATCGAGCCCTTCAAGCTGGTCTATCATCAACATGGTTATATCGTCTTTCAGATTTGATATGAAATACAATTTGAATCAAAATATACAGGGAATAAATTATGGGAAATTTATGTTATGCAAAATGCACGTAAACACTTACCAAATACGTTGGTGTCTAAAAAATACCATTAATGCTCGTCGACCTCTCGCAATAGTGATTGTAACTAGGTCGCGGTGGCCAGATGTCATTGCCGTATTTTTGGAGCACCATTAGATGCAGCCGATTTTTGCGGGAGTGATCGATAGGTATCTGTCATCACCTTAGGCTATTGGAGCGCCTGGGAAACCTTGTTTTACCTCTTATCAGCTGATAACTGGCTGTAATTTGAATTTTGCATAACGTTCAAATCCCGCTTGCCATTTTGATTCTCACAACTTGCTGTGACCAAAACAGCTGCCGGATTAACTCCGTTTTTGTGCGTCTACATTTGCTCTCCACCACAGGTACGTCCGGGGAATTATTTGATTTTAAAATCGTACTTTGAAACGCGTTATAAATTTTAGTTTTTTTTTATAGAGTAAACCCTTTATATACAATTTTTTGCAAGAAGGACCAAAATTATTACCTTTAACCCTATTAAATGGGGCGTACAGCCCAAAATAACTCGCGATGTTTGCAAATTACCCTCTTTAAGATTTTATACTTAAGTAGTACCAAAAACCAGAAGCATCTTTGCCATCTGGCATCGTAGGCTTTAATAATTTGTTTTTCTTGCAACCTAATTTATTGTTTTGTTAATTTCTGGCTAAATATTGCTGAGTGGGGAGCAAGAATTCACGGCTTGTAGAAATTATTATTTTTATTTGTATTTACATCCCGGGCCCCCGATTTTCGAGGCGTCATCCCCACACAGCGACGCGTGTGGTCCGGCCAAGCGGCGCGTGTGGTCAGACAGCCGGATCTGTAGTTGGTAGTTCACCCCGCAGGCTTCAGCTGTACCAGCTGTTTTTGTACGCGCATCTTGATATAATTTAATCCATAACCTATCTTCTTTAATTTACACTATTTCTCTGAATTGCTATCGGTTATCCACTCCTAGAAAGGTCGATAGACCCGGAAATCTGCGTAGAAAGGTTTTTCCTTAATGCTGGTATATAAAATTTAGCATAAACCGGTTCTTCGAGGATCCGTGAATTTAGAATTGTCCTTTAATTTGCAAATCCAATCCAGCATAGAAATTTTTCAATAGAAAAACTTCTTGCAAACATGTATTGTGTCGTATCTCATGATTTCGCAATCCAAATAGCCACGTCTTTTCCAGTTTTTGCCGCATCTCTAGGAAACAAACTTCTAAAAACCCGTACCTTTTCCAGATGCCACCCAAAAATCGTGGCGGTGCGCGCGGGCGCGCAGCCGCTCAGGATGGAGGACGCGGACGCGGACGCGGTAGAGGACGAGGAAGAGGACGAGGTGCAGCCGTCAGCGCCTTCAACCAAGCTGCCACGGAAGCCATGTTCGACGCACCAATGCCTCCACCACCCCAATCCACGTTTGTTCCTCCCCAAGGCGTTGTCCTACGACATCGTCAAACAGTTGCGCTGTCTAACGCCTCCCCATATTACGATATTAATCAGCCATCTGGTTACCAACAACAACAACAACAGCAACAACAACAAGCTGCTCACCAGGCTTACCTACAGGATACCCAGCCACTCTATCACCCTCCACAGCAAATGAACAACGAATATGGCCAGATCCCGATCGGCATGCCGATGAAGGAGCCGATTTTTGCCGAGCCTCTCATCCCGCCGCATCGATTGTTGAGGCAGCAAGGCAAGTTGACCAAAAGTCCGAACGGGAAGTCGCCTGTCAAGGGTATGCTTGGGAAATCGCCTGAAGATATGAATACGCAAATGCAGGGCGGATTCAACAATCCCAACATGGTTGACCCAAGCGCTCAATATCAGCGTTATCCCCCACAACCCGGGTCAGAGGCCATGCAGCAGCAACACCATCATATGCAGCTGCGCAGTCCCCCTCAGATTGCCATGGTCTCAAGCCCGAGTGAACAACCACCCAGGCGCCAGTTGCAGCAACAACTCAGAAGCCCTCCCCAACGGCAAATGCTCAGCCCATCTCAGCCAAACATGATGAACCCGAGGAGCCATGAAATGGCACCACAGGCTAGTCACAGCTCTCCGCTAATGAACCACACATCACCAATGATGATTAGCCAACAATCCCCCATGACACTACCAAGTCATACTTCACCTATGATGTTTAATCAGAATTCGCCCCAAGCTGCTGTAATCTTACAACAACAGCAACAGCAGCCGCCGCCGCAGCAAATAAACATTCAAAAGGTCGTACGCCCAGTCCAGCCAATTCCTCCGCCCCAACCTATTGAAGAATTAGCTCATACCCATGATTGGGAGAAGTCCACTCCAAATGACCTAGCAGTCGAGGGGCGGGATGTTGCGGGTGATTTCCTTGAAGAAGCGCTAGTCGGAAAACTATTTGAAGCGGCGATTGACGTTGATGATGACATGGAAGGTCAGCATAGACGGACACGATCTCGCAGTAGAAAGGCGCCTTCGGTCCCAATCCCAGACTCAATCCCGCTTCAAAGACTTGACGACCTCTCTCCAATGAAATTGGAAGACATGGCGCGTTACCTTGGACCGGTCTTTGAAGCAGAATCTCAGGCGGAAGCGCATGCCCAAGGAGTACAACCCGAGCACTTGGACGCGAGCGTTCACAATTTTGTCGCGCCTCAGCTACACCATCTGCCGCTTTCACAACACGAAATGGATCCGAACCAACCGGGTTGTTCGTATACCCAGAACGATCCTTTTGAGGGCACCATGAAGAGACAAAGTCGGAAGCAAACCTTGCTCGATGCTGGTGCGTCACCTGAAATCATTACAATGGTCGAAGCAGCGGAGGCTGGCCATAATGTCCTTTCAGAATTTGAAATGGGCTTTATGATGCAGAACGATGGACATCAAGTTGAGATACAGCCTGAACACGAGCCACAGCCACTTTTTACCCGATTCATTGACCGAGCTGAAGCCGAATGCGTGACACCGCCTATGATCCAATCACGTCAAGCCACACCCGTTCCAGAAGAAATTGTTCCTCAACATGAACAATTCCAAAATGCGCTACTCCTGAAAGTGCAGCAACAACAAATCCAGGAAGAGATCAAACTGCAGGAGGAGCAAGAGGCCCTCGAGCAGGCAATAAACCGCCAGGAACATGACGAAGATGGGGACCAAGAGACCGAGGAAGCACGCCAACAAGCCGAACTGCAGAGGCACAGACAAGAGCAACTGGTAATCCAGAAACAGCGCAGAGAGGACCAACTCAGGCAATTAGAGGCGGAAAGGGCCAGGAAGCAAAAACTGCGGGAGGAGGAGGAACAAAGAGAGTTTTTGGTGCAAAAGAAGTTGCAAGAACGCCGCGAGCTGGAAGCACAACAGCAGCAAGAGCGGCAAGAGGAAGAGGCTAGACAGAAAAGGAGGAAAGAGGAAGAGGATCAGCAAAGAAAGGACCGATTGGCGAGGCTTGAGCTCGAAAGCAAAGCTGGGGACGAGGAGCCGCCTACAAAACGGTCTAAGCACTCGAGGACCGGAGCTGAAATAGAGCCTGAGCATCTTGATACAGCGCCAAGGAAGAGGAGGCTGCAATTCAAGAGGAACATTGTGGAGGTGCGACAATTCTGTCCGAAGCGCACTGTTCTTGACCGAGTGTTTGAAAAGGTTGAATTGGAAGATGAGGAAGAGGACAATGATTCGGATACTGCATCAGTCTCTAGCCTGAGCTTGAGTGTGATGGGTGACGCTCCAGCTCCCGATGGAGATATGGAATTCCTCAATGATTTGCCTCATGACAAGATCTTCCCGAATCACGATGATTGTGCGGCGTCTGTAGAGGGAGAGGAGTCGGAGGCGCCTCCGGTAGATGATCACGTATTTGCCGTCCCGGAACTGCCGATTGCTCCTGGCCTTCATCGACGCGGTGTACGTCCCAGGGACGATCCGGTAAGTATTTTTTTAATGTAGCATGGTAGTAGTAGTTTTGAGGATTTTCGAACAAATTTTCTGATTTTAGGACGCTCCTTCCCGACCTCGTACGGCTCCAGAACCGCGTGTGTATGTGGCGTCCAAGAAGATGAAGGACATCTTGAAAAGCCAGCAGCAATATCGCGCAAAAATGGCGGCTGAGGCGAAGGCTCGTCAAGAGTCTTTCTCCAGAGCAGCTGCTGATCGAGGTAGAACATTTTTTAAAGATCTAGAACAATTTTTGATGTTTAGATGCTGCAAGCAGGACTCGAAATCGTGGCGTGGCGACTGGAATTCCGGAGAATATGCGCGAGGCTCCAAGGGACGCTATTCGCCGAATGGTAATTTTTGAATAATTAAAAGATATGAATTTGAAATAGTAAACTCCTATTACAAAATTTTATTATAGGTAAACATCTTCTGAATAGTAATTTAACCTCATTCTTAGGAGGACATGTACCGCCAAGAAGTCGAGCAGCGTATCGCTTTCCACCACCAAAACAAAGAAGAGCTCCCCCCAACTACACCACCAAATCTGTATGCGGATACCCCAGAAGAAGAAAAGGAAATTGCTGACAATCCGGTATTTTTAGTATTTTTTTTGTTTATTCAAATTCAGGCCCAACGTGAATACATCGACGGCTGCATCTGCAACAGCTTCCGGGAAGTGTTCAATGCTGATGTGCAAACCTTGGCTAAGATGTTGGACCACTGTGTGCTGCTACTTTCCTATACCTACAAACGAGTATGTTCTAGCAGTTCAAATTGTATTGTTGTTGTTTAGGCTCAACGCAGCACTCCCGGAGTTCGAGCAGTACTTCATTGACAATTTCACTGCCCGGTTTGAGATGATGATAACGTACGTTAGTTTAGTTTTATGCATTAAGGAGAAGCAAGTGCCATCTGATAAAAATGATTTTACAGCTCTGATGACGTAAGAATGGCCCGTGTTATGGAAATTATTGGGCGCGCTGCAGCTCTTCTAGACGTACACGGCGCTAAATATTTCCTCCATCATCTTCTCTGCATTTCGAGCAAGGTAGGAGCACCAAAAATAAAAAAAATCACCATTTCTAGTACGTTTTGCTACAATCAACCTGGGTGCGTGTGAATATCATGACAATGTTTGGATATCTTTTGAGATGGTCCTTGAATCTTGGTAAAGGAACACGCGGCGTTGGTAAGTCTATTAAATCTTGTAAAAATTAGTAATTTTCAGTATGTCATACCCTTACGGTCCCACAACAAGAAATGATTGCCCGGATTGTACTTCCATTCGTGAGGCATAAGGTAAGTGGTCCCAAAAATATTTCAAGTTCAATCTTAGTGCTGGCAAACCCGAAAAAGCACATGTCACGCTTTGGCACTGATTGACATGATGGATCCAGAGAAGTCGGATACTTGTCGAAAAGGTATAAGTCTCTAAGAAGGTGGAAAACGTCGATTTAGCCATTCAATTCCTGGTCCACGATGAGCATCGTAGAGTACGAAGGGAGATGCTGAAGCGCTTAAGAAGGGATTCATACGATTATCGGCAAATCGTGGTCGATGCTGTGGCTTATGAGGGTGATGAGAAGGTAGGAAAAATTAGAATAAAATAAATCTATGAATTTTAGGCTGCCAGCGTTGCCCTACGTCTACTCTGCCAGCGTAGTGTCGAGGCCGCTTCTTGCAGACATATCTGGCTAGCAATGCTCTGTGGAACCAAGGCACCATACGGTAACCAACACCGCCAAAAACTAAAAACACTTTAAATTCAGATACTTTGAAGCGACATGTCACCTACTATGGCGCGCATTGGATGGCTGATATGAAGGAGGTACGTAAAAGATTGGAATTTGCAAGACATACAAATAAATTTAGATCGACGATGAGCGCCGTCGCCTTCTAGACCCTCAAGCCCACGAGGCATCAGATCCGAAGAAAAAGGAGCAAAAGGAGAAGCCTCAGTACGACTCGGTGGCCTACTGCCTCTTCCAGCTGCTTTGGAGATTCGGAATTCCGAGGCTTATCAAAGAACCTAAAGTAAGAAAAGGTGGACCAAAGGTGTAAATAACAAATTTAGGTGGTCTCCGAGATCGTTCATAACCTATTATACCATTACTGGGTTCAACAGCATCGCGTGAAAGAGAAAGACGTGGATCCGAGGGAGCAGCGGATTGATATGTACATCAGAGAGCTTATGGCTGGAATTCTGAAGGACGAGCTGGTCGTGACGTGTTGGAATTTGAAGACACTGCTGTTTGAGTGGGTTTATATTTCATTAAAAATATTAAGGCGACTAAAAGTTTGAAAATCACAATATTAAGATGGGACTTCGAAGCAATCATCCCTGCCTTCACCCTGCTGAAAAACATGATCATGTTCATCAAGAAATACGGAAAAGATCCGGACGATATTGCGCAAGCCATCTCTCGTCTTGCCCCCAACTTGTCGGAGACGGCGGAATATCTTTTCAAGTGGGTTTGAATACAATAGTAGATGTTAGCTCTAATTTGCATATTGACGCCTCATTTAGATACATCAACGGCCGCTACAGGAACCTGCAACCGAGATTGAATAAGAAATGGAATCAGCAGTTCGAATATATGATGAAGCTGATGCTGTTCGTCTGCAATAATGTTGAGCGATGCCCGGAAAATTTGTGAGTTAATTAGGGAGCTAGAAAATGAAGGGTTTTGCAATTTGAATAATCTAAATTTTCCAGGAAGAAGTACGTGATTCTTCTCGAAGTGTTGGCTGTACAGGAGTCATTGCCGGGCTCAACTCGCGATAAAATTATCCAGTCGCTCGTTTTCATGAGCTACGAGCTAGCGAGGGCCGTTGGAAAGGATCCATCTACCGTAAGTCGCTGTTTTGAATATTCAAATTCCCAAATTTCAGCACGTTTGGAACACCTTGATGTTGTTGCTGAATGAATACAGCAGGAGGCGGATGTTCAAGATCCACGCTGAAGCTGAGAAACGCGGCATCACCTATCCGGTATGGGAAATATAAAAGTAAAATACATTTTTCTTTAGGAAGGACATTTCCCATCTGATGTCCTGGCATTGGCTTGCCGATTCTTCATCCAGGGTCTGAAGACCGGAATTTTCGATTCGAACTTCTCAATTGTCAAGAAGGATTGGGTGGATATCGTGAGAAATTAGCTGCTAGATTTTTTATTTCTTTTTTTTAGAAAGAGGGCCTTGATAAGTACGCTGAACGACTTCCAAAGCGGAAGGTACCGCATAAAGATATCAAGTTGATGGAGCTCTATATGGAAGCGGTAAGCTTATATGCCTTTAACTTTAATTATTTGAATTTTAGATGGGCATGGTGGCGGCGCATTTCCAGAAATTCTTGCCAAAAATGGTTCATGATATGTGCATCATCAAGCCTAGCTTGCATCTCGAAATGAGGGTTCATGTAAGTAGCTTTTAAAAAATGTTTGAATTTGCAAATTTCAGTTGGCTTGGCTAAAGGCAGTTGGAAATCTGGCAAACGAGATGCGAGTCGAAGAGGTAATTAGCATATCGAATTTAACATTCATAATTATATAACAATATATAAAAATTAGCATAGACAAAAATTTGAAAGAATTACCATTACTTTTCAGTTCAACCACCTTTGCATGGACGACAGCTTCCGGGGCCAACTTGGCGGCAAATCCTTCGATTTCGTTGCTGAACTATCGACAGCACTTGAGGTAGATTAAATTTACAAATTAAAAGATTTATGCAAATTTAGCACGCCCAATTCTACTCGCCCTACACAGCCTTGGTCGCCAATTACGATCAAGAAATCTGGACGCTGGCATGCAAATTTTTGCTGCACAACCCTTGGAATAACCATGCCGAGATTTTACTGCCGTTTTTCTATGCAAGGTAGGCCCTGCTGACAAAAGAAAATCTAAAATCTACATTCAGAATTCTGGACCCTGCTCTACGTTCGAACGAGGCAATTTCATCCATACTCAAGGAATTCTTTGCACTTTTCCGTTCTAATTAGTAAGTAAATTCTTTAATTAAAAACCTAATTTTTAGTTGGTTGCAAAGATCGATGGTTGATGGGCTATTCGAATATTATGAGATCTACCAAGGTTGGCGGGAGCCAGAAGAGGATATTACCGATTGGGGCGAATTTTTCCTGGAGGTATGTCAGCTTTTTTTGGTTTTAAAGGACTCATTAAGGTAGAATAAGCAAATATCCTCAATTTAGATAAGCCTTGATGACGTCAACGCTTTCGTAGCACGTTCTCTCAATGCGCGTTGCCTTGTCATGTCGGCTTGTTGGCTTCAGAAGAAGAGGGTAAGAATTTATAAAAGTTAATTAAAATTACATTTATTTTTAGCGCACGACGGAGATCCACTACAGCCGTTACGAGCGCAATCGATTCCAAGAAGAGCGCAACGAACAGAGAAGACAGCTTTATGCAAAAAAGATGCATAAGGATGATCATACTCTACCTCCAGAGAATGTGGATGTGCCGACAGACGTAAGTTCAGCAACAGCATTCCGTAGATGATCTGTTTTTAGGTGGTCAGCGGACAAGTGTACCTCCTTGAAAGGATCATTGAGAGACTTGGCGACTGGAACATGAAGATGCTGAGCAGCGACTTTTCTAAGGACGCCCAAGGCATCAAGGAGTTCTGGGCGGACACCCCGGAGACGGCGCTGGAGTTGATCAAATCCTGGAAAGTGGTGAGTTCGAGCTAACAAACTTGCTGAATTTGTTGGTTTTAGATCTTTGAATCGATCTGCTTTGAGTATGGATGGCAAAAGCGCACGATGGAGAGGTTGAGAATTGAGGTCGAGAACATTTATCAGGTTTGTCAAGCTTTAAAATGTCAATTCTAATTTTTTACAGTACTGTGAAGGCAAGCTTTGGCCCCAGGAATTCAAAGAATCGCTTGTCTACCTGGCCAAGCGATTGGAGCTCCATCTGGAGAAGGTGTTGATCGAAGACCCGGGTGTCGAGCCGAGAAGACTCCTCGGAAATGTTCGACGTCCTATTCGATATTGGGTCGATCGAGTATGTCTTGCTAAAGATCTATATACCATAAATCTTAACAATACGTAAAACAAAGTAATCCTATTTTTTCAGGATATCCATCACCTTATGTATGCCAAAGAAATCCTGCAGGTCGATAGACTGCGATCGGTAAACGTCCAAAAAACTTCCTTAAATGCAACATTTAGATGGGAAAACTTGCCGAGCGTGACTGGACTCCGCGTCCCCGTATGCCACCCGTCATTCCAGATGACAAGCCTGAGCTCCAAGCCCTCTGCGAGCTCCATCCGGGCGCCTGGCCTTACCCGACCCCGCCTATAAACGACTGCGCCCCACCGCCGGTCCGCTACAAGCCCCCGTGGGCCCGGACAGAAGATGATCATGGCATTTATCTGCCAACACCAAGGAGGCCCGCTCCAAAAGTCCCAGAACCCGAGCCGACGAACAGCAAGAAGAAGAAGAAGCCGCCAAAGGTGTCGAAGAGGAAGCTGGTGTACCAGGTTTGAAAAAAAGTAAATTTAAAATTTAAAAATCCTTTTTAGCGTCCATCCGAAGCGGATCTCGCAAAGCTGGAGGCCGAATGGGAGAAGGACCATCCCGAGATCTACGATAGGGATGAGCCGGAAGAGTTGGAAGAAGGGGTTGAGAAGAAGGAAGCAGCCGAGGATGAGGAGGAGGAGCAAGAGTCGGACCACGAGTCTGATCCTGAGTATGTATTTTAAGAATACCAAATAAATTGGGCTATAACTGAATTTTTATCTTTTAATTTTCAGTTACGACCTTGACTACGGACCACCTTCAAGCCGCCGGAAGTCGAAGAAGAAGAGCAACGCTCCAAAGCCTCCAAAACCACGATACAGCGCAGCGTCTAGACGAAAGCTCTATTAACTTGTTTACTATTTTCAAACCTTTATTGTTTAATTGAATTTGCATTCTACCCTCTATCATATCACCTTAAATGTGCCGTGCTTTCCCGCATTTACCAATTTACAATTTACATTTTTATTTCTACGCCAGTGTACATAGTTTGGGGAAATATTAGGGGTTTTATGCAGTCCGGGTCCTCATTCCATGTTGAAGCCGAGGAAGAAGCCGGTCGGCTCTTCGTTTGAAGACTCGGCGTGCTCATCATCGTCTTCGGTTTTCTCTTCTTCTTCCTCTTCAGGTGTTGTAGTCTTAGAAAAATATCGTTAAATGCAAACATTAATTTCAAACCTCTTCCGAGTCTTGCTTCTGATTTTCTTCCGATGCTTCGTCCTCATCCTTTTCCGGGAATTCCATCACCAAATCATCATCCTTCTAAAGCATTTTCGAGGTCACATGCTAATATATGCTTAATAAAGGTTGAAATATACATTATACCGATCCACCAAAGCAATAATAGAGTCCCTGTATGGATGTGTAAGTTGGAAGGGTCAAACAATCAAAAACGATTGATCTTTATTTACAAATGAACCGGTAGCGGGAGACACAGGAGGAGTATATGTAGTAGCATTCGGAATATGCAAATCTAAGAGTGCAGAGACATATTGCCAGTATAAGCATCGGAATTAGTAATGGTATTATTGGCTGGTTTGGTCGAGTTAAACTTGTTAAAATAGGGATGGTTTTTCAGTAACTACAGCCATTGGGTTATTAGTTGAGGTAAATATTCTTTGAAGCGTTGGTTTAAGCCGACGGAATAGGCACCGGGTTTCCGAGGTCGGCCGCGGACTTCGGGGGCTCGGGCTCGGAGGTTTGGGCGGAGTCCTGACCATGATGATTTTTGAGCTAGAAAACTGACAAACCTCGGTTTGAGCAGCAGCTTCTTTTGTGTTCTCAACAAGGTGAGGCTCAGCAGCGTCAACCTCGGCATTTCCGACGGCTAGGGGAGCAGGGGTCGGGATGGAACTCTAAATTGGGCGTGCAATTTTCGAGGTGATGCTCCCGAACCTCATCCTTCTTCTCCGGCTCGGCGGCGAACTGGGTGGGCTGTTCGGCCATTTTTTGGGCCTCGGACTCGAAGAATTTGAAGAACTCGGCCAAGGGGTCGACTTTCTCTTCCTCGGGAACAGACTCAGACTCATCGGAGGTGCCTTCGGTCTTGTCCTAAAAAGTTATGAAGTTTAATTTTGATTTTTAGGCCCTTAAATATAGCTATTTTACTTACATCTCCACCATCAACCGTCTTAGCCTCATTAAGCTTCGGGAACGAGTCCTCGATAACGACAGGCTCAGTGGTCTTCTCAACGGGAGCAGCAGTGGTGGTAGTGGTAGGCTCCTTAACCATCTTTAATTATAAAGATCAGAATCGAGCTTCTACCGCCTTCTCGCGCTCAGCCTGCGCCTTCCTCAGCATGTCGTTGTAGATCTCATCCGTTCGCTGTTGCTGTTCAGCGTTTTCGGCGTGGATGGCGGTGACTAAAGAACAGCGTAAGTCGTCAGATACAGTACTTACAAGTCGGCCTGAAGCCGGCGCCGCTGTTGAAGTTCTGAGCGAGCTGCTGGAAGTGCTGGTAGACGCGGTCTTCAACGGTCGGGATAGCAGGTCCGGGCTGAAATTTGGAATTAAAATTTGGAATCTGTACTTTCTCACTTGAAAGTTACGTCAAGATGAGTTAAAATACCTGGGACTGAAGCTGGTTAACAATTTGTTGAGCGGAAGCGTCATGGGGGCGAATGGGGACGGGCTCGGGTTGAGGTTGCTGAAGCAAAAAGTTAGAGCTATTCAATCCAAATTTTAAAGGTTAGTTGTTAGCTACATACTTGTTGCTGTTGTTGCTGCTGTTGTTGTTGCTGAGCCTGAGCTTGCATCTGCTGCTGGGCCATCATTTGCTGCTGGGCCTGTTGGGCCATCTGGGCCTGCTGCATCTGCTGGTTCTGCCATTGGGCCTGTTGCCAAGCCCTCATCCTCTCCTCCTGCTCGCGAGCGCGAGATTCGGCCTCGGCTTGGGCGGCTTGCTGTTGTTGGGCCCACTAAAACCATAATCCAAGATCTGAGGTGTTTTCTACCTGGTACTGTGCCCACTGACGACGTTGCATCTCAGCCTCCATCTGTTGACGGCGCTGTCCCTCCCAGTACGCCGCCCAGCGCTGCTGCTCTTGTTGCTGTTGCTGAAAAATCAGAAAGAAAGTGAGCATCAGTCTATCTCTACTACCTGCATCATCATCTGAGGGTCCATCTGCTGTTGTTGCTGCTGCTGCTGCTGAGGCCAGAACTCAACGCTAGGACGCTGGTTGTTCCACGCCTGCTGCTGCTGGAACCAGGCCTGAGCCTGTTCAGCGCGCTGAAAGGGAACACAGCTTGAATTCAGTCCTTTCTCACTTACCAACTGCTGGAGACGCGCCATGCGCATCTGGTTCCAGCGGGCGAGGCGCTGCTCGTGCTCTTGCTGAAAACGTTGGGATATTTTAAGTGGCGTTAGAGGTTACGATTTCGGACTGTTCGTCTTGTTGGGAGAGGGCTTGCTCCATGGCGCGGGCGATCATCTGGCGCATGGCTTGCTGTTGGAAGAGAGCCCAGCTCATGCGCTGGAGGCGTTCCATCCGGTCGAAGTACTAAAATATGGAATAAAATCTATTTATTTGAATTTTTCTAGTATAGACAAAATAATTTTTGTATCTATAGATTTGCCTGCCCAGTTTTCTGAGGTTATTGCACCCCTAAAACCTCAGGAAAGTCGTTTTTGGATCGAAAAACGGTTATTAGGTATAGAATGGAACGGAAGCGACCTTCTAAATACCAGTTTTTTTCAAAATTAATATTTTTGTCATTAAAATCAAGTTTTTAAAAAATCACGATACCTGGCGGCGCATGGCAACGGCGTTACCAAAATCAGCCGGAGTGTTGCCTCCTTCAATCACCTAGAAATTAAAATCAAACTTAAATAGGGAATTTTAGATGCATTCTGTAAGAATCGTGCGTAAAGTGAGGAAACTTTGTGATTTTCGTGATCTCGTGCTTTACCTGAGGAGCGTTTTCTCCATGCTTTTCTTCATCGGGGACGCTCTGGTCATTGCCAGTGACCCCCTCATCTTGGCCCTGTTGAGCAGCAATCTCCTCCTTCAGTTCCTTCTCCTCCGAGGACGTTTCGGGGACCGCGATGATGGCTATTTGCATCTGAAAGCGCTCGGGGTCATGCAGGTGCCGGGCCGGTGTGGAGGAGCATGAGGGGGTGGGACGGTGTAAACAGAACCATCTCAAGGATATCTTGACTCGTCAATGCATATCTCATGCAAACATGTTGACAAAAATAATGGCTATTTCCTGCTATGCAAATCTATAGTTCTATATCTTTTTCTCTACAACAAAAATATAGATTTTGTAAAGCCAGGAAGGTGGGTTAGCACAGCTAGCTAAAGTTAGTGTAAAAATCCCCAGATTCGTTTAACCACCTCGGAATCGTCATCCTCATCCGAATCGCCGCCATCCATCAGATCCTCAGCGTCGATGCCGATCACGCGAACTTCCTAATCTCCGTTGTGCATCTACCACTCCTATTCTCCAGCCGCTAATTCGCTTACGAAACAAAACACACAGCCAAAACTAAGGCAGGCGCAGAACAGGGAAGCTAGCTAATTTCAGGTGCTTTGCATTTCCGATACCTTATCATTTTGTTGTGGTTGTTGCTTGAGTTGGTCTTGGAAAGAGAGCTTCTCGGCGGAGGGCATTAGAATCACTGTGCGTTCCTGGAAAACACTCGATTCTTGGTGGTCCTTGAGTCATTTTTCGGGGAAGAATGATCCGGGGAGCGTGTTTCAAATTATTCGGGGGTGGAAGTTGGAAAGTATCGGAAGGTAGGATGGGGGAAAACAATTTTGGGATGAGAAGGGGTGATTCGGGAGGAGAGACAAGGTATTTTCGCAACGTTTGGATTAGATATTTTGGGTAGCAAGCGTGTGTATTAAATTCTGGTGGTTTAAGAAAATGCGAAAACTCAATATGGAATACATTAAAGCACATTCGATTCGTCATATAAGCTCGGAGAGCGAGAGGGAGAGAGAGAGAGAGAGAGAGAGAGAGAGAGAGAGTAAGAGATAAAGAGAGAGAGAAAGTGAGAGAGAAATAAGAATTCGCAAAATTCAGATTGAAATCTGCTTAAAATAGATTCAATTAAATTGAAGAAATTCGCATAAACATCAAATTATCATAAATTAACATATTATACGAACCTGATCTCCCCATAGGCTTCTGAACCCGTCGTGACCGCTGAATGCCACAACAAGCGCAAATGCGAAAAGCGCAAGAAGCGTTGAGATCAGTGCCACACACAATACCGTTCCGCAAAGGCCGCTCTAAAAACTCTTCCTATTTTTTTGTAAAAATCACAAACGTGTCTCTTGCGGCCCTCAATAATCGGCGGCATCTGCACTGGTACCATCTGGGGGCACGGCTGTACGACGGTGAAAATCTGAATTTGAGCATTTTCTAGAAAACCGGTTCAGTCGATACCTTAGGGTCTTTCTCAATATCTTTCTTCTCGTCAGCCGCGCCCTCCGCTGGAGGATTTACCCCTAATTTAGTCATCCTGAAAATTAGCAGTGTAAAAATGCAAAAAAAACCTTGATTGAGAGATTTTGAAAGAAAACGCAATTCTAATCATTAGAATGAATTTAAAACAAAAAACCTAGTGGCAAACAAAAATGTCGAATTGTTCACGTCGAAGATGTAGTGATTTTGAAATCAAACTTATTCAAGAAATCAGAGAGAATTTTTTATGCTCGAATATATGACATTAATGCTATAAGATTATTTTAGAGCTCGAGAAAATCTAGTAGGAACTTAAAAATTCGAAAAGTCCATTAAATCAAGACTGGATAAAATTTTTCAAAATGTTCTACCCCAATTCCACGCCTGATTAACCCCAGCCTGCACATGCTTCGCACACCATCCCAAGGTCCCGATGACAAAAACAAGAAAAATGAACGACCCGGGGACGGCGCAGCGGATATCAGATGTTGGGGGAACTTGGCCTTCTATCCCAAATTCGTCATCAACAATACAACGACAAAGACCACCATTGGAAAGAACCCATCCTCCTGGATAGCCAGAGACTTTGGCGAACAACCTGGCCACACTCCGACCCCTTCCCCCCACCCCAACCCCTTAAATTTCAGCCAAGAGGCGGGGATTTCGACGAAGAGACACACATGATCCCAGTCAAGGCCAAACCGTTCGGTTCACCACGGTAAAAAGGCCCTAGATTCACAACACTCGAATCGGAGTGACCCTGGCGGGCTTGAAGAACCCAGGGGCAAACACCCCGCGCTTGATTTGGCAGATAGATATGGATTTCATTCTCGGAAAGGGGTTTTCCCCAAAACCGGAATCGAACTGAGGAGAATCAGGTGTAGACAATGGCGTCGTCGCTGGTTAACGAAAGAATGATTGATGGGGGTTTGGTTTGAGGGGTGTTCGATCAGACCGGGGGAAAAGTGTGGAGCATTGGCATCGTACTCCAAATTTCATAGGAAGATCAGAACTTGATTGCCGTCAAATATGGGGTTAAAGGGAGGGAAACAAGTGGGAATCACGTGAAAGGAGTTCGTGATGACACAAGTTCAAGAGAAAATTAGAGAACCACATCAATGGAATCGAGGCACTTTTTCGGGAATTCGCTACGGTTGCTTTCCGGATCTTGAAATTAATTCGAACTTCGTCCTAAAATTTCCATATAAATTTCGTTAACCTTCTAAAGCTGTAAATATGTTTTTCATCGGAATCCATACAATCGCATGTTGATCCCGAATACAAAAGATATTTGTTGGGGTTGGCAGTGGTTTACAGCCGTCAGATCAAATATTTGATGCTTTTAGAGAGAAATTCCGTCAAGATAACTCTAATTCGAATCAGCTATGCAAATCAGGCAATTTTAACGGTATACAAAACATAAAATAGAGGAAATGGTAACTAGTAAAAAATCTGCCACACACCAACAACATTATCAGGTTTTTGATCAGGCAAGCCCCCAAAAATCGATCCAATCAAGGTCATGCTCCCACCGGAAAAACGGATAAACATCCCCCTCCTGTTACAGGAACACCTCCAGCCTAGAATCCAGCGAAAGCGATACAGTCGAGGCGCGCGATGTGGAGTTGGAGAAGGGGCGACGGCGTATGCGGCATGTAAACAGCCAAAGTGGGAGAAGAGGGGGGAGGCTCGCCTGAAGGACGTTTAAACATACCGCCCCGAATACCGTATTCAACTCCAGCAACAAGGCTTGCTGCCTTTTGTTGCTGGAGAAAAGGATGAAAAAAGGGGGGGATGTTGTGTAAGACCGGAAGCTTTTTTGGTGTTGGTGCTGTCAAAGGGAGCGATTAATCTTGCGAAATGAGTCAGAGAATTCGTCATGCTTTTGGAAATTGAAACTGTAAGATTAAAAGACCATTTAGGGAATTTTCGAACGGAATTAATGCAGGGATGAAATTTTTAGGGATTTAAATCAGCGCTTATTAGTGCATCGCCTTGTATCGACTTTTCCTTACTGGCTTTAAAGGGACTGGTAAAGGATCCCTATGGATTTCGCAACTTATTGATTGCCTACCTTTTTTCCGTATGCGCAAAACGCAACGCATTCAAATTCCAAATCGTGAAATTTATCGCGCGTCAGGTTTTCTCTCACTCGCTCTCTCTCTCCCTCTCTCTATCTCTCTTTCGAAACCCATATTTTAAAAAATCCAAAACCCCTGATTTCCATTGTTTTCGATCCACCATCCCGGAGAATCCTAACCATTTTCCGTTCAAAAACACTCCCCAACTACTCTCCCCCCACCCCAATTCCCTAACAATTTATCACTATCCCCCAACGTGAAAACCTGTTATATCTATCACCACATCAACCGCCTATCCAGGCTCTCGGCAAGACACAAAAGCAACGCCCGAGTTTCTGGATGTTTCCTTTTTTGCAGGTGATAAGGGAGAAAACCCGGCGGGATCACAGCTCGGCTACCGTACTCCCCAGCCACAATTTCTCGTTGGGATTGAGAAATCTATTTGGGGAATGGCTGATCGGGGGATTTCATAGGATAGATCAACATGAAAGAAGAACTTTTCTTCATGGGGCCGACGTGAACGGGGTGAAATTATGGATGGGTCAGTGGCTGCAGTTCCATACGTCACCCCGTTCCCCCTGGCTGTAATGGGGGCAAGCGAAAGTTTTGGGGATGGCGATACTGGCGTCAGGAAGGAGTTAGAGGTTTTCTGGAGGAGCTTGAGGTATCTAAGACCAGGTGAGGATCAGGTTAGGATCAAAAATCTTTTGGAATGAAGCTGAGGAGGGGGGGTGTGTTTCTAGAACGGGTCGACAGGCAGGAGCGGGTTCGTAAGGATTCGTGAGGAGGAAAAAGCGTTGTCGGATCACCAAAACGCCACTTTGAGGGCGGTCAAGGGGTTTTTGGAAAAAAGTTTGCGGATTGGAGCGAAATAGCTATTTTCAGCTACGTGTCCTTTCAACTACAGACGACAAACTAACAGTTCCTTAAGAAGAGATGTATCTACGTTCAAGCACCACTAACAAAACGAAAAACGAAATCTAAAACAGACCTAAAAAACGTCTAATGGTTCAGCAAAAATGAGCTTGAGCTTGAAGTGTCAAGCTGAATTACCTTTAAAAATAAAAATGAGCCCGAAATAGGACCGCGGCGCGACTGCAACGCATCCGCTGCGCGTCAAGTCACTACTTCAGCCGCAGCAAGGTCATCTACAGTCTAAAACCACCAACAAAACCAAAAATCCCCCAGTCAATTCCGCAACAGTCCGGCAGCAAAATCTGGTGCTCCGATCGCGAATGGACATTCATTCAATGCGGAGGGAGGAGGATGAGGCAGGGTGTGAGCGAGTGAGCGTGTATGTGAGGTGGGGGGTCGCGCGTTTGCGCTGGCTGCGAAGGGAGGCTGTTTTTGGGAAGGGGCGCTCCGCGCTGCCGGTTCCCGTAGAGGGGCTGCGCGCTCATCTCTCCGCTCAGCTCCCCCTCTACCTACTACTTAAAAACGAATCGATCGGGAGCGCGTTTCGGAAAAAGGGTGGGTGGCTGATTTTTACAGTCGCTGGGTGAAGAAATGGGGATGGTGGTGGAACCGACCTTTACGAATCTTTAAGGTTTTTCGATCTTTTATAAAAAATGAACATGTGTATTGAGAAGGAAGGATAGGTAATTTGGATTTGTCCTTGTGTGCAATGCTCCTGAAGATATCGGATTTTACAAAATGACTTATTTTCGGTGTTAAAATTTAAATTTTTACGAGATTTTCGGCAACCGCTGTTAGTTGCAAAATTCAGCGAATTCCAGTCACAACCCCACCGCCAAATACCGGTAGGCGGAAAAACGCGATCCCTAGTTTTAATTCCACTTCTGTAAATCAGTAAATTTGCATGTCGGGATTTTGCGTGTTGGGATCATGGCTGTCGAATTTTTGTGGTCGGCATTTTGGCCTAGATGGTGTTTTTCTTTAATTTCTAACGCCAGAAAAAATGAAAATTACAGAGTAGTGGGCCTAGTCGTAGCCGCGAAGGGGTTTTCTACCCTCATTTTATTAAAAATTTCAAACTCCACCAAATTACAGTGTTCTTTTCAAAGCATCCTCCATTAATAGACAGGAAAAATGCGTTTATTCAAAATCACCAGTAGCAAAAGATCACGGGGACAGTAGGGGGAAACGATAAATATGCGCAATACGGTACATTGTTCCATAGTGAAAACGTTCGTAAGGGGGGAATACACGTACACGGGATTCAGGTCCACGTCCAGGAAATGCGTTAGAAAACTAATTTTCCCATTAACAGGTTCTAAAGACAAGCCCAAAAAAAATAATTTCCATCAGAATTGCGACACTAACGGTAGTCGCGCATCGGTCGGGAGTGTGGAAATATCTTAAAAAAAATTATATAATTTTAAAATATGATTTTACATACCTAACGGTCTGCTTTCTTCTCTTTGGACAAGGATTGGTCCAACTAAAGCTGGTTTCTCGGCTTCCACGAGTGATTTCTAAAACCAAATTTTTTTAAAGACTCTAAAAATTTGTTGTTAGTTGCTTTCAAGAAGTGTAAGTGTTCTGCACTGACCGGTGTAGGGCTCTAAAATCAGAAAAAGGTGCCGAAAAAGCTACAAATATTTGGAAATCGGTAGAGGTCTAAGCCGAACTTACCGTGCTCGTTAGAAAAGTGTCATAGTTCTGAAGCGAAATCGGGGTGGGTAAGTAAAAAAACAGCAAAACAGTGAGAAGGATACGGTAGAAGGCAATTAAGCGCTAGCAGAAGCCGACAAAGAATAAATTTAATGAAATATATATGCAATAGAATTCGGGTTGAAAGGAAAATTTTCCATTAAAAAATTATACCTTATGTGAAGATTGGGCGCTCTCGCAGCGTTTCAACGCCATCTGATGTTCCTCTTTGATCTTGCGCAATTCGCGTTTGCCGTTTAGCTAAAGAGATGAAGCCGCAAACATCAAGGGGTAAATTAGCATACCCATTTCCGTACACATTCCATTACAGAGCGATTCGTGTAGCACAAGATAATGGATACAGCAAAGCCCTGGAATTAAGGTTACGGTAGGAGGCGCGTGTTTTTAGAATTACCTGCAAGCCATCAAGCACTAGATTGATAATCTGATGTGCTGATGATGGTATTCGATATATCGTGAAGAAAAAGTGGAGCCCAAAGACTGGGACTAACATTAATGCGGCGCGTACGGCTTTCCTAAAAAAAACGCTAATCTTAAGCGGGTTTTTAGAGTTTTTGACCACTTCCCGTTATTCAAGAATGAAATCCCTGTCAGTAGCATTTTTTAGACTTTTCGGCCCAAGAACATGAGGGACACCTGTGCCTCTTCCCCAGGGAGTTCGAAAAACAAAGCCACTGCCCGCCCCGGGCTCATCGACCATTTCCCCCTCACCACCCCCAAATGACCAGAAATCCTGGGAAAACGTGTGTCTAGCTGAGAATGATGAGGGGTAGAGTATAGCTTCTTTTTTAGGATACCTTGATACCTTACCTATACTGTACCGGCTCCAGATGAGGATTGTAGCGTAGTTTTTTCACCAATATCATTAGAATCCAGGTAACAAGTAATAGATTTGCCTACAATTTTTGAGATTGGTTTTTAAGATACCCTTACGCATATAGCAATCAATCCTGGGGCCATGATTGTCCATTCTACAAAGTTATACACGGATGGTAATATCCAGCAATATTCATTGTCATAGATTTGGCGCAGTGTTGCGTACAGGACTGTCAGCACGAATGGACCACCTGGAATATGGTTTTTAAAGTTTTCTTCGCAATCCTCACCCCAGCAAGCCACTTTATAGGGCAATAGCGAGTTCTCATCCGAGAAGGCATTCCTCAAAAGCCGCCACAGATAAACCCCTTCAGCCAGCATCCAGCTGAAAGTGGCTAGACGGAAGAAGCGCAGCTGAACGACGAAGAGGAGTCGGCAGAACATCTGAAAAACCAGGCTCTCCATTTTTTTTATAATCGTAAGAATGATTTAAAAAAGCTCAGCACTTACATAGCTAATTTCACGCAGATTTTCCTAAATATTTTGATTACCGTATCCTTACCATTGATTGTCAATAATTAAAGAGATTCGAAAACTCACGTGATTTGCCATATGTAGCTTCTCTCCTGGAGCGTCATCGATGACAAATAAGAAGACGTTGAGAAGGTACGAGACTCCAGACAGCAAAAATGACAACAGCAAATGCCGATGAATCACAAAAACCGATTGGCTCCTCATGCTCCTTAAAAAGAGCACGATCTCACAGAAAAATGCTTAGCTTACCGGAAACACGTCAAAATCAAAACCGCCGGCACCAGAGCGATGACACTGATCGAAAATGAGATGACACCGGCTACTAGCTTTACAGTAGCCTCCTAAAATTCTTGATATATTTTTAGAACATTTTCCATTCCGCTTTTTTTTTAGTTTACAGCTTATCCCTAATCCCCTCCAGGGATTGAAAGGCCCCGAAATAATTCATTATTTTTTTGGATAATCCGGGGTATTCAGGACACAAATCTGGGGCAGCTTACACGGGTTTAAGACAAACTAAAAATGACCTGTTCGTCTATGCGGCATTTTCCGTAGTCTGTCCATTCTTTTCCACGTTCTTCGATGGACCAGCCGGCAGTGGTGCAACGGCGATAAGAGGCTGAAATTAGCATAATTTAAAATTTGAATATCAGGCTGGATCCAAAAATTGTTCAGAATCTCTTTTGGTTTCTATCATCGTTTTCTCGTCTTTGTGAGGGCTTTCGAATGGTGAAAAATCATCCAGATCTGAACCTTGTCAGGACATCTAGAACTTTCGCGCGTGTTTGGACCTCCTATATACACCAAATTCCAAATATTTACTGTTTACCCCCAATACTTCACAATCCCTTTAACCCCGCCACCTTAGCCCGGGCCAATGATGTGACAGACCGCTGCGGGCTTCCGGTCTCGTGCGGAGAGATGGCAACTGAGAACTTGACGGCGGCAAAAGGCGGGCAAAGCTATTTTCGTGGCGGGACCCGCATTTGTGCACGGCGGCTCCCCCCCTTGTGTGCCCTGAAATTCGAGCCTGGTGCCTACCCCGGCCTGAAAGTTTCTGCCCTCACAGTACGCCTTCAGTTGTCATTCGGAAAGGACGGTCAACGCGGGTGGATTTGGGTGGATTTGGGATTCAGGACAATTAGGTGGAGGAGCAGGGGAGGAGGAAGTGAGGCTTGGCTTGGAGGGGAGCATGATCAAAGCTTTGCAGACTAGGGAATTTTATATGCAAAGAGGAGCGTGATGTTCGAGGATTGGCCTTTTGGGGGAGTGTACTAGATCTTCTATAAGTTAACTCTATGACTAAGCCCAAGCTCAAACCTAAGCCTAGGCGTAAGCTTAAACCTAAGCCTAAGCCTGAGCTAAGTCTAAAAGCATAAGCCTAAGCTTAAAGCTAAGCCCATGCTTGAACCTGAGCCTAAGCCTAAGCCAACCAAAACCTAGCCTGCGCCTAAGCCCGTCCCTAAATCCCCTCAACCCCCCACTCGCAACACTCTTCCAATGTTGCCGTTTCTCTATACAACCTCCCCCCAACCCCCAGCCACAAGTTCTGTGGTCTGCCGGAAGTAATTGAATATCCGTGGCCCCTGGTCACCCCGTGCAAGGATTTCGGGACTCCCCCAGCTCGAGGGTTTTATGAGTCAACGCTGCAAAAAAGCTGCCCGAAAAACTGACCAAGACCATTGTGCTGTCGCTGGTGATCTCCATAAATGTAACTCGGACATCTCCCAGGCACCGTGCCAACCTTCGACTCCTCAAAGCATTGCCACCCATCCCAAGTCGCCGGGCACTCTGAAAATTGCCCAAATATTTATTTACCGTTCAGCTGAATCTTAATTTCCAATTTTGCTGTGGGCACAGACCTGTTGTGCGGGGCTTTTGGAGCGTTGTTTTGCAGCAATCCCAAGCCGCCTCGCAGCATTGCCGGGTGAAATAGGGGAATACCTCGGGGAGTGGCGGCTTTGCATGCAAATCTTCGAGTGGTCGGACAGCCGAGCTGCAATGGTGGTTGGGTGGGTTATGGGGTGGATTTAGGGGGTGATAGGGCTTTTCTGGAGCAGTTTGAGAAGTAAGGAAAGGTACTGTAAGTGCAGAGGAATTTAAATATCTTGATTTAAGCCCTGGAACGAGCCAGAAAAGCGGCGCCTTTGACGGCTTGGAGAAGTACCTTATTCCGATCATTTAGCTAGGTATTGACAGCTCTCAAAAAAAAGCGTGAAAACGCGGATATTCTTTCTTGGTTTTTACAACTAAAACTCCTAGAACTGGCAAATTTATGTTATTTTATTGAAGCATGAATTAGACTTTTTCTAGCAAACTTCCTAGCTTTGCGCAGATGCTAAATAGTTTTAAAAACAAAAATGGATTTGATCTCTATTTCGAGAACTTTAAAATAAGAGAAAAAGTTGCCAGTACGAGCTTCCTCTAGGCCGGCGGTGGTTGTTCAAATATTTGCCTTCCATGTCCCTTTAAAACCTTTTTTTTAGACCGTCTTTTTGCAATTTCTTGTCATCATCTTTTTCTCACAATGACATGAGGACATATGTGTGGTTAACGTTTCGTTTCCTTGAAAGCCCTGATGCAACCATAGTCCCTCCCCCCCTCCCCCCAAGTGATGGGTCTCACCCCCCACACAAGCCCTGAAACCGGAGACCCACTGTGGCCCATCCCCATACCCCGCTACCCCCGACTCCTATCAGCCGCTAATCTCGGGGTGTGATGGCCGCATCTCTCCCTTTCACCTCAAAAAGTGCTCACTCTCCCCCCTCAGCCGGGTTCGAAGCGGCCGATGATCGATGGCCATAGTTGCCAATTCGTCCCCTCGGAAAGTGATTTAGGATCCACAGACGCCTCGGGCACCTCGGGCTGCCACGAACGATCATAAGCGTTCCTCCCAAAGGGCTTGCCGGGGGATTATCCGAAGTGGACACAAGATGACTTCCCATATTTCAGGAGGAACACCGGATTGTTATTGGTGCTTCAGACGGGAAAAGCCCTCCTTAAAAATTTTATGGGTTTCCGGCCCAATATATCAGCCTTGTAACGACAGGTAAGCGCCATGTGCTTCATCTTTGTTATTGGATTTTGGGCTTCACCTCAGCGGCGGATGAGATGAAGCCCCGGAGCACAGATCAGCTAGCAAGGGGTCTAATTGCCTCTTAGGCAGCACCCCACCTACTACACGTACCCGGCAGTTTTCTGGGTGGATGGAAAGAGAAGGGAAAGGTTGGAAGCCTTGCAAAAACGAGGCAAAAATTGGCTATTTATCTATAGGTTTTATTAAATTCATACAAATCCGAACACAACAAAAAACCCAAATTCATCCCCTAGATTTTAAACACTAGATACAAGCTTAGAAAATTTCTCTCAAAATTTTGGTCAGTGATTCCGGGAACCACCCACCCGACATCCATCTGGCCCACTGTCAGTACAGAAGGGAAGGCAGATTTAAAATAGTTTGCTCAAATATGGGTGCCCGAGCTAAGCTTAAGCCTAAGCCTAAGCCTAAGCCTAAGCCTAAGCCTAAGCCTAAGCCCAAGCCTAAGCCTAAGCCTATCGATATGGCCGATTTCCCGGTTCGACCTCTGATTTCGCAAAAGATTTTTGGGGCAAAGATGCAAATGACTTGCTGTCGTTGGTTCTTCTAAGAATGATTCCGAACATTGCCGGTCCTTTTGCCTGTAGATTTGTAAAAAATTGGTGAGAATTGCTCGTTTTCAATAAAGTGAGACCAAAACAAAAAAATCTAAGGCTAAGCATAGACGTTCCCCCAACCCTTAAAAAGATAATCCAAAACGACCCACTCCAAACCCGTGGCTCCCATCAATTTTTCATCATCCCTAGATCCGATTTCCCCCCAGAACAGCCCCTGCCACTCTCGGCCAAAATAGACCCCCCTTCGAACTCATGTGGCCTTTCTATTTTGGCCCTAGTTGTGAGCTTTTCAGTGTTGCCCTCCTCCCCCCCCGCCATTCTTGCCCTCCCCCCTGTTGTTCTACCCCCCAAAAAGGGGAAGGGCCAACATTCACACCACAGCTTTTTCCATCCCCTCCTTGCCCCCCATTCGGGCAATGATGCATAAGATAAAAGCCGCTGTCACCCCCAGGCGCTTCTGACGCTCCTTGTGTCCCACTTCGTCCTCCCCCTTCGGAGTCCCACTTGTCCTCACCAGCACTTCACAATCCCCCGACTAAAATCTATTTCCATAAAAGATGTGGATGGATGGGGTTGAGGAGGGCAAAGGAGGGGCCCCGGAGAATGGCATTCGATGTTGCCAAAAAGTGGGCGCGCGTCCAGGCATGCCTAAATCGAGGGTGGCAGGGGCTTTTTTGAGAAGTCTTTTGCTGGTGAGTAGACCGAGATGATGCGTGAAAAGTGGCGCCTATTTTTGAGGGCGAGGGGCAAGTGGGGGGATTAGTCATTCATTCTGGGGTTGAATTTTGGGTTCGAATTGGACTAACGAACACAGAAAAAGCGGAATTGCTTTTTGGGGAAAAAGTAATTGAATAGATTGTTGGGTGCTAGTTGCTGGAGGGTAATGAATTGTTTTTAGAATCTTTTGAATTATCCTCGGCTCCGAAATAGTTAAATAATTTAAAAGGTTGTTAACAGGAAGAAAAGGATAATTATTTATGAACGGGATACAAAATAAGAATAAGGATAGCATAATAAGTAAAAAATAAGAATAGTCAATTCATGATAACCTTGCAAAACAAGAATAGTCAATTCAAGATAACCTTGCTTGAGACAACTTCACGCTCCTATGGACGAGATCGTTTTTCCAGCTCTTAAAGACACATGGAAGTTATAAAAAGCGTTGAAACATTCCAGATCACTACGCTATGCTCCTACATACGTAGCCTATCAACTTTCCAGCGTTAGGGAAACATAAGGTGATGGGAAAAACTTGACAAGACCGGATTACCTTCTTGACTACGTTACGCTTCTATGTACACATAGCTTTAAGTGCCTCTCAAAATTAAATAAGCTATTTCCGGCCTCCTTTCGGCCCCAAAACCCTGCTTCCAGACCTCAAAACGATCCCATAACACCTAACTCATCTTGTACACCCCCCGAAAACCAGTACCACATGCCCCCGGGCAACGTGTGCCCCTCATTATTGAAATGGGCACCCCTCATTTCGGTGTTCCGACCCATTTTTACCCCTCCTCCGCCCCAACCCTTCACTTTTTGAGCTTTTTGAGCTCCCCCCCCAACACCCAGTGCTTTTGGGGCTTCTAGAAAAAACGCGACGGGCTAGGCGGCGAAGGTTTGGCGGTTCGAGCCAGCCCGGACCGCGGCATAAGTTCATTTGAACCCCTCAACGGCAGCAGCGGCACGTTGCCAACCAACTGCCACAAGCCACAACCTGGGGAGCAGAGAAAGGAGCAAGAGTCAACTTCCTCATCCTCAACTGGATGGATCAGCAGGTAGAGGGGTCGGTTAACTTTCAAAAATAGGGTGTTGGGACTAGATTGTTGTGTGAAAAAGTGTTAAAAAAGTGGGGAGTTCCGTGTTTTTGGAAGCTTGACGACTTTCCAAACTAATAATATTATGCTAAATTTACTTTAATAAGTATACGGTGCTTTTCCGAACCTTTTGCTGACGCTTTTCCCCCACCCACAAAGCTATCATCCCACCCGGCCCCGTCAAAATAACTTTATAGAATTTTGTTGACAGGCCCCCACTACCCTGCACAAAAACCGTCACTTGTTTTTGCGAAATCATTCAAGAATTTCGCCGCTAATTCCGGAAAGAATTTTGGCTGAACGCTATCGTGGGGACGGGCCGCCCGTCCGGCCCGGCCCCGGCAGACGGTCAGCCCCCCGGAAAAACAAGTAGTGCAGTTGCAATTATCCGCGCCGATGGCATTATTAGGGGGGTGACGAGTGCTTTGTGGCATCTTGGAAAGGTGATAGGGACCCGGAAATGGTAACAAAAAATTCTATGCAGCTAATTAAGACAGTTTTCATTTTGCGATCCTAAAATTGCCGGTCTCAATTTTATTCTTCCCCTCCGCCGCCGGACCGGTTGACTCATTTTGATGTGCCTTCTGTAAATATGCTTGCACAGCCGGGGCGGTCAGATCGATTTTTGAGGAAAAATATTTCCTGGGAACCCTCTTTCGCGCCGTGTGTGCACCCGGGCCCTGGATTCCCGTTTTCCCGGCAGATCCAATTTACATAAAAATCGGGTGAATTAGATGGGGGGTAAACGCGCAGGGCGCGGGCAGAATAAACGCTTTCACCGGGGGTTGAAAAACGGTACTGTTTGGAGGGGAAGGGGGTCAGATTTCGGAACCAAACTGGCAACACAGATTGTTACCCCGGGTGTTGGATCAGCTTTTTCAGGGGAAAGTTGGAGGGAAAAGCTTCTGGAATGCCGTGTCCAATTTTGGGAGATGTCAACAACAGATGCTCGCGAAATAGAAAAATGTAATGAAGAGGATGAGAATAGAAATTGTACCCAACAGACGACCCTCACCTATTGTATCTTTTCGATTCGTTGTCCTACAGTTTTGTAAAGTATACAAAAATACTCGTCAGACCATGACAAACATTTTGGTGTACTACACGCCTCTGAAGACGTACAGGGAGCCGAGATACAAAAGCGGAGGGCCGACTTCAGAGGGGGGAAAAATGCACATCACCAAAATTTCTGAAAAAAATCACCAACCTGTTCAGCGCAAACTCCGGAATGTTGAACACATATTTGCTATTAACGCACTGGCAATCCACGGCATCATGGGGGCAGATCAAAAGCCCGTTCGGGCACACCTTCGTGTTGTAAATCGCCCGAAACGGGTCGGTAATAAAGTAAATATAGAGCAGGCACTGCGCGCACGCTTCGGAGCGGAATTGGTTGACGGGCAGTGCGGAAGAGCCGAGGCGACAATCACTGAACCCGGGCGAGCTGCTGCTCAGCGACATCCGCGATGGGCAACGTCGCCGAGGAGTTCGAGCTGGGCGAGCTGAAAGTTGAGAGTGGAGGAGTTTTTTACGCTTAAAAAAGAGCTACAGAGGTGAAGGAATGAAATGTGATGTCGAAACGTAGACATAAGTGCTGTGCACTTTGGAAGTAACTTGAGACAGGGAAAATCGCAGGGAGCAGCAACTTCGGGGAGGTCCGAGGTATGGGGATTTGGATGAAATGTAGCGTTGAGCAAAGAGAAAAAAAATGCATCGACCAGATCCTTATATACGCCACAAAATAGCGTAAATTGGCTCTAAACGGATTTCAAAAGGGGGCACTGTAGGGATGAACCTAAGAAGCAGGAGCAAGCTTTGAAAAGCTCAAGCTCAACCTCCTCAACCTCAAAATACCCCCACAAACAAAGCAAAATTCCTTAGGTCGCCGTCTTGTCTGCGGTTGTGGTGATGGACAACGAGGAGGAGGAGTACTTGCCCCCTTTGCCCCTCCCCTGAACCCGCCGTGGTCGAGGGCGGGGCTTCAAGGGGTCCCGCTCCTTTTCTCCACCCCTCCCCCCTTTTTTTGATGCTTGCCAGCCAAAAATTGTTTTGCTTACATGGCCATCGGCTGTGTCGAGAAGCAAGCTTGGGATGGTAATGACTTTCTGATATCCGCAAATTGGGGGGAGGGGTGGATTTAGGAAATTCTCGGAATTTTCAGCGACATGGCTGGTAGATTTTCAAGCATTTCAAAGAGCTCAAGGTCAAATGTTGACTTTCCCAACGCCATTTCGGTCTTTTATGGCCGGGCATTGAATTTTTGGTTTATCGAACGAGATGGGGAATAAAGGTATATGCGGATTACAATATGAAACATGAAATAATACAGAGTTTGCAATGGTTTTACAGAAATCCAATGTTGTAGTGACCGGCAAGAGCATCCACGCGTACTTTGAAATACACGCCGCTTTGAGCAGTGAAGATCAACGCCAGCTCGAGCTCGGCACATCGCTGTGTAAACTTCAGATGTAAAAAAATGCGAAACAAATAGAAATATTTCCGGCTACGGCTACTTTTTGACGCTTCTCCGTACGCACCATGTCGTGAGACTGATGTTACGCCCTTTCCAAGTGATTTTGTATATTTTCATCTAACAGTACCCCATTTTTCAGACGTACAGATTTATTTACCATCACTACATACAAAAACTCTATGCAAAACACAAGTGACACATTCAAAAAGTGACAAGATTCAATGACCACGATTATGCGTAGGGGGAAAACTATTGCACACAGCTCTTCGGCACAAAGCCCGGCTCCATAAACCGGAAAACGGAGTCGAGCGGCTTCGCCTTATACCAGTAATCATCTACCTGAAAAAAAGCTTTTCACAGCGAGGAGAGTAGGTGATAAAGCTGGCTCTCAAGCTCAAACTCACATCTTCAACAATTTTGACCCGATCTCCCTTCGAAAGGTTCAAATGGCCCGGCTCCGTGGAGGGATAATCGGCAATTAAAGTCATCTCCCGCTCCACAAAGTCCGACGCAGCAGCCGAGCCGCCCTCCTAAAATAGACTATTACCAATATTGTTTACCCTAGCTCACGTTTAGGAAGTTTGTCGGCACCATTCCCTTACGGCCGTTGAGTCGGCCCATCACCCAGTCGGAGCCCATCCTAAAACCGGTTTTACAATTACTAAAAAACCTGGGAAATACCTCTCGAGAATTTCGATCGTATCGCCGGCATAGCAGGCCAAGTCTCCTTCGACCTGAAAAATTTGCATAAATAAATGGATTTTAGAAATTAGCTACAAATACCAAAAATACATTACACTCCATTTTGCAGAAAATCATTACGCTGAATTTTAGCATGTCAAAATTTAAATTTGCAGTATATTGCTTACGTATAATTTTTAGTATATCGAAAAATTTATCATGTTTAAAGCTTCTTATCGCATTCAAATTCAATAATTATATTATAATTTATATAATTAAATCTTGGCTTTGGGTCAATATCTTTCAGCGTAATGATTTATCCTAAATAAATTTCGGTTTACTGTATTTCTGCGTAAAAAATGTCGGTGTTATGTCGAAAACTAGGAATCGTTGGAAAACTTACCCCAGTTTGATAATCATACTGTACCGACGCGCTTCCGATGGCCGCTTCAGCGCTTGGTTGGCTCAAGGCTGGCTTGGAGATCGTCAAGTTCTAAATATCGTTTTTAAACGTACTATAGCATTTTGGACTTACACTAGTATCCACAAAATTCGCAGGGAACATCCCGGTCCTCCCTCCAATCTTCCCCTTCAACCACTGGTCATCTACCCACTCCAGGACTTCAATACGCTCGCCGGCAATAAACTGGAAAAGAAAATTATGTTTTTTAATAAAAGCAATACATACCTCTAGGTCCCCATCATACCCCGTAGAATAATCATGAAGTGCAGAGACGACATTAGCTGTCTAAACAAAAATATTTATCGGTAATACAACCATTAACGTACCGTTCCCATATTTGGCAATGGAATTTTGATGTCCAGGAAAGAATAAGGAATCATTCCGTGTTTACCCGTCGTTAGGTTTGCTCCTGGAATTAAGGAAATTAATCAAAAATTTCATGAAAATACCGTAAACCCATTGGGAGTCGACTTCTCGCTTCAGCAAAACTTTATCGCCTGTGGAGCATTGGAGTTCGTCCGATTGGTTTGTGGTGTAATCGTATAAAACAATGGCGTGAGGGTCCTGAAAATGGGAAATATACAAGTTCAGCCTAATTCTAAGATTAGCCTAAGCCTAAGCTTCGCATCGGCCTGAGCTTAAACATGAGCTTTAGCTCAACCCCAAGCCAAGCTCAAGGGATGGATATTTCAAAAAATCTATGCCTTTTCCACAGAAGGTGAATAGGTAGAAGAAGCTGGAGGTGGTGGTCGACTTGGTGCTAAAATACCTTCTTTATGCAAATTAACAAGTTTTTATTCTATTTCTTATGCTAACTTTTATCCCTTACGTATTTTAGGCCTAGCTGGCGCCTCTAACATTGCATTCAACCCCTGGGCCAACGAGTAACTAGCGGATAAAGGTCGATTAGGAATACTCGGCGCGACCGCGGGAATGTCAAACGATTCCCCGAGATGACTAAAAGTCTTGCGTCGCGGAAATACAGGCACGAATGGCCCTCCATTTGGGGTTGCGAGGTTGTGAATGGATGGTATTCCTTGTAATGGATACATTGGAGTGGAAAGTGAGTGAATAGGTGTCGACATAATATCTATAGATGTCCAATCTTCGACTGTGGGTCTGGCAGGGATTCTGAAGAGTGGGTTCTCGATGCTGAATTCTGAGGGTCGCTCTTTGTCGAATTGTACTGGGAAGTAGGATTCAACATCCGCTTCATCTTCTGGTTCTATGACCATAGCGAGTCTAGTTGGAGTTGCTGGTTTTGAGGCTGAAGACGTAGAAATAACGGCAGGTTGATCCAGTTTGCATCCTGGATCTTGGGTAAAAATTGGAGCGGCCAAGTTAGCCTTTCGATTCGGTGGTGTATGAGTTTCAACTTGGAATATACGCTCCGTTTCCGGCTCCTTGCAGCAAAAAATCCGCTCCAGGACGTCCATGACGGCTCGGTGATAATGGTCGAATGGCGATTTCGGTGGTTTAGAACGGACAAAATAGGGGATGACTCAGTTTGGAATTAGGAAAGATTTCAGGGGCGGCACAACAGAGCGCGTGGCACGTCGAGCTGTTCAAACAGTCCCCCTATGGGCCGGCGAATATCGAAAAATAATGATGGGAAAGGTGGATGGATCGATTTCGATTTGGGGGGATGGATGGGATGTGCCGTTCCAGGCTTCTCCTCTGTCTGCCCTGCATCCCGGCAAATATCGGGCATGGCCGCTTCCGCGTTTATTGGGATGGTGAAACGGAAGTATTGCAAGAATGGACATTATTTTTAGCAGTTTAGCATTGTTTTTGTAGACTTTTTTAGATACTTACAGTTCGTCTTCTGCAAATGTAGATCGTTGAGCTCTTGGACAATGTTTGGGTACACGAAAGGTTGGGAGGGTGTGAAGCCGGCTGATGAGAAGTTTCCGGAAGCCTGAAAAATCGTCTTAAGCCCCTCAAAGATATTTCCCTTACGGCTTTGGGAGTCGAATTATAAGCCGGAAGCGCAGGAGCCAGGTCAAAGTCGGTCACTGCTCGTTCATTGTCTGTATTCGCCGTTTTCCAGCCGGGTTTAGGTGGTGTTGGCTTGGCAGCGGGAGGTGGAGGAGCTAAAAACGTCGAAATTTGCATCTAGGTATTTCCAGAATTTGCATAAATTTGCATGGCAATAGCTAACGACTGACCGGAAGTTGTAGCGACTCCGTGTCGCGGTACCGGCGGTGGAGGTTCATTGGTAACTTTCGGAGGTGGAGCAGGTCGGACTGGATTCAAATTTTGCTAAAATAATTTTATGGTTCGCCTTGCTATAACCCGAAAATTAATATGCAAATGCAAAACTTTATCATAACCTACTTGTTCAGCTTGCTGACGCATTAATGTCTCCATCACCATTTGCCGGGTATTTGGGTCTTGCGCGGCAGATTTCGCAACATTTCTAGAGGGCTTTTCTACGGATTGAACGAATTTGCATACCTAACCATCGGGTTTTTCGATGCCGTAACCGCTGCCGCTCGTACTTCCGGTCGTTTGGCAGCTTCAAACATTGCCTTCGCCGCCGCAAATGAGGCATCTGAAGTGAAAATGTTAAAAAATTACCGTCGCCGTGTGATTTCTTTCAGCTGGGTCATTAGCATACGTTCGTTCGCACTTACCTTTATTCTTCAGGAAATCCATTCCAGACGTTTCTAGGATTCTAATTTAAAAAAAATAATTAAAATAGAAGACGCCCAATGCAAGACGTCTGGGATATATTTTGTTGAGGTCTTTTTTGGGTGTTGCCGGGCAGAAGGATATCGATTTTCCTTAACATGGCCTAAGGGTTCGCCCAGACGTTTGTCTCGACCCCCGCTACCTCCCCAAAATACAATATACACGATTTTTTGATAGTAAAAAGAGTTGTAGGCTAAAAATAGGAAGTTTTCTGACTCAATCTCGATATTGCATGCGCTCCCCGGCCGACTCGTATCGATCAGGCGCGTGCACGAAAAAAAGTGGAACAGCGCGGCAGGGAAAACTGTTTTGGCTCCAATTTTGCGACGCAATAATAATAAAACCGAATCAACCAACTTTTTGAGAAATTCGTCGAGTCGCTGGAAAGATTTGTGGGTTTCATTGGAGGAGGCGGGGCTGGTTTTGAGAATACCATAATCTAAATTTTGCGGTTTAGCACGAGGCAGAAAACGGAAAGAAAACGACAAGCGGTGACGAGGGGGAAATAGGTTTGAGCCGGAGAATTAGAAGGGGGGGTAAGTGAGATAACAAATTGATGACTCATCGAAAAAGAGGGTTGGCGGCAACTGTTCTGATGAAAGAGGAGAGGAGACAACACGATGCGGGAGGGAGGGAAATCACATTTTATTCGGCCCGGTTTTGCCGTTTGACCGTTGGAAAGTGTGTCAGCTGAGTATCGAACTTTACGAAGTCCGGGGGGTAGGGGTATTAGTGGTTATCATCCGATTTTATTGCTCAATTTATTGGGGTTGCTCGGGGGCAGGAGCTGCCATGTTGAACTTTCAGATTTAGTCTTGGAAAGGTAAAACTACTGCAAAAAATGTGTGAACCAAGTATTGAATTCCACGAATTCGGGGAGCAAGGGTATTAGTGGTTTTCCTCGAAATTTATTTCTCAATTTATTCGGGCTGATCGAGGAGCACGAGCTGAAATGATGGACCTCAAGCTTAATAATTCGAAAAATGAAAAAAAAACAGGTTGGTAATGCATTAATAAGCCACAAAAACGTTTAATCGAGGTTCCCGCTGAGTCTGGAGCCTCTCGTACCCGGGGGGTAGGGGTATGGGTGGTAAACTTTCTATTTTATTGCTCAATCTATTGCGGACTAATTGGGGAGCACGAGTTGACATGATAAACACCTCGTTCTATCCTAGGAAAAAAATCTTATTTTATTTTGCAATGCATTAAAACCCCAAAAAATGTGATAATGCGGTGTGGAACCCAAAAAATAGAGGAGAATGTTGGGGAGAGACGTCGTGAAAGTGACGAGCTCTGCCATTCGTCGCGCAAAGCAAACAACACCGCGAGGACGGTGTGTGTGGCTATAAAGTACAGAGGAGGCTTTCAACTGACAGTGCGTGAAAATCAAAAACTAAAATGAGGAGGTTGTTTGGGACTTGTTGAAGCTGTCTGGCCACTAATACGCCCTTTGAAACCTGCGGTGGCAAATGCAGGGCCGTAACAAACCCAAATTTCGGGGGCCCAAAATTTTTCCCAATATAATTAAACTACGCGCCGCAGAAATTTTTGAAACATAGGGTTTATAACACTAACTAGTGTTAAAAATAGCCAAAACGCGCCCGCAATTTTGGAGTTATCTAGGGTCCCCCTGTACTTTTCGCCTTCGGCCGATTTCGGGGGCGCCCCCCCCCTCTTACGGGCCTGGGCATATGGTGGCTAGTTGGGTTCATTCAACTTCAAAGTAGTGTCTTAAAGGGAAAAGTAAGTCAAAAGAAGTAACTCGAAATCTTTATTATCGCTTGAAAAAGCCCGAGTAGCCACAAATCAAGGTCCTGGAAAAGTAGACGGACGCATAGTGGTACGACACGCCGTCAGAGCCGACCTACCAAAAAACCACAGCAGCAGCTCCCGGGTTTCGTACTAAACTGTTTTCGGCACTATTTTTTATGCTCTTTCAGATGCAAATTGAGTTGCGTGTTGAAAATGCCCGATCGGCCGCATGGAGGTCTGAAACGGGACAAGGAGGCATGGTGGTGGTGGTGGTCGGAGCCGACCTACCAAAAATCCCAGTCGCCGCACCCGGGATTCCCGGGTTTCCTACTAAGCTGTTTTGGGCACTATTTTTTGGTGCTCTTTCAGCCGGAAATTGAACTCTAAGTTGAAAATGCCCGAACAGTCTAAAATAAGCCTGGAAGGGCACAAGGAAGGCACTGCCGATGAGGGAAGGAAGAGGTACGTGCGCTCCGCATAGCTGCAACTTCAAAAGGGCGTGGAAATCACACCAGTGTTTCCCAGGTTTTGAACCAATTCGTTTTCGAGATTATTTTGATGCTCCTTCCGACCCAAGATAAAAACAAATTGGCGATATAGGTATGTGCGCTGACTCACCGTCTCCCCTGTTTTACCCGCGGGCACGCTGCCGGGCCCAACGGCCCAGAATAACAAATGAGGGGTGATTTCCGAAGCGCCAATCGATACTAGGGATCTCGATGGCACTGTCAGCGACAGTTCGGCTAGCTTCTTCTCCCTCTCCAACCCACCTCCTCCTCCCCCAGATGGGCTCAAAACAAGAGGCCATTCGCGGCCTCCTTAGAGGGCCCGAGGCGGCTCACTCACTCATCGGCAATTTTATCGATTCGCCATTTTGTCGAGCAATGATATTTTCAATCAAAACCATGCCGTTTTCTTTCTTAAAGTATCCCCACGATGAGATAGATAGCCGCTTAATGGGCTTTCAGTCATTAAGGCCTACAAGCTGTGAGCTCCACCTCGAACCTTGCTCCTCTCTAGCCGGGTGTTGGGCCCTCTAATCCTCGATTAGCTCCCTAGATTGACTTGGTATAAACCATGACAACGCCTAGCTGGATCGTTGCCATTGCGTGTGGGACACCATTTCTCCAATTACTAGTTACCATTTTGTTTTGCATGTTTTCAGGTTTTGCATAGAATTCGCGCTTTTTCATCTCAGATTACGGTATTTCTTCGAAATTGGAGATACTTGCTTCGTTGCGGGTTTTTTGCACGCGTTGTCTGGCCTCTCAACCCTCGGCTCACTCTCACATGTTCTCTCTCAAGTCTTCCCCCCCCTCGCGCAGGGGTAAAAGGCGCCCACCCTAAGCGCATGGTCCGGGTTCGGTTCTCCAGCTCTTAACGCGCGCTAGGCTTCAAATTAATCCCTACGTTAGATAATGGCCTCTTCGAGTTCTGCGTCCCCTTCCGCTCCGCCGCCCAAGTCCTGCCGAGGGCCCCTCCTGCACGAGCTCGTCACCTACAAATTCCCGCCTGAACAGGAAAAAAGTTTAAAGTTTTTTTTGAAGCGCGGTAGGTGACCATGGCCAAACAAGCAATTTTCTCTAGGTAAATGTGAGGATGGGCTGATCTCGCAAAGCTTGTGCTGCGTCATCATCCCCCACGAGTTGCACGGCTATCCGGTTGTACTTCAATCCGGTCAGCGAGGCGAATTCCAGCTGCTCCAGGAAAGTAATTTTCGTATCAAAATTAATACTTTTTGAAAACCTAGGCCTCGTAGAGACAGAAATGCAGAAAGCAGAAATGCGGGTAACAAATGGCCCTCACAGTTCCTGGCCGTATCAAAACATATTCGGCCGTAAGGGCAGGCCCGGAAAAGGTAGAAATGCTTTGCGTAAAACGTAAAAAAATCGTATTTTAGTTGCTTCGGCAAAAGGTGACCAGGATATGACCTACGGTCCTGGTGATCCGAATCGTAAGCCAGGCGGTTTTTCAAGAATCCATAATTGTAGTGCTGTTGAGCCCGGCGGAGATGGAACAGGTGTGGCAGGACATAGATCCCGGTATAAAATTTTTACATTCATCCTAAATTCATTTTTTATTTTTTTGTATTTATCTTTTTTTATTTTTCAAGATTTCTAGGAAAACGGGCTGAATCCAGTCCATTCATATGCTCTGAATCTGGATTCTTTTAGACGTGAGGGAAAAATATGAGCAGAACCAGCTGGCTGTTGCTCCTTCTGCGCCGCATGAGGAGGATGGATACGCCAGTGATACTACAGATCCTGGTAAAGAGTAGCAAAATATGAACGAGATCAATTTAGAACCCAATCCGGCCGATTATCCAGTTGGTGGAGAGGCCGATGTTACCCCAAGTATGTGATTCCGAAACTAGAAAATTCTTTTTGAAGCTATGATCTCTTTTGAAAACGTGACGCACGCGAAAGGGCAGGTCGGAGGAGATGGAGAAGTCTCGGAGGATGAAGACGGTAATGTTTCAGAGCTACAACTTCTAGCTGATTTTTCGTAGATAAACGCGTAGAAGCTGTTTTTGCAGTTCGGCGGGGAGACAGGGCGACAATGACTGGTATTGATTTTTGAACCATTATATTAGGTCAATGGAAAAAGGCCCTTTAAGCCTCCAACCGGATCGTAAATCAAAAATTGCATTTTGAGAAGTCAAGCACTGTCTTGACAAAACTCAACAGACATACGAAGCGGTTAAAGAGGAGGCGGAAAACGTCGACGCACCGAGGGATGACGGCGGTGCGATATTAAGCAAGCAATATGGAATTTTTTTAAATTTCTAGAATGGAAAGAACTTGAAACGGAAGCTCTAGCCGATCAGATCGATCAAATGGCCCTGGAGCCGTCGGCTGAATTCGGAAAAGGATGCGGCACCGAGCCGAAAGGTAGATCCACAAACCAAAAAATTTGATTTGGTCGATTTAGAAACTGAGGTCGAGCCCAAAGGGACTGAGAATGATATGGACCTGAATCCTAATAATGTAAGATTATAAAACCGATCCAAACTTTTTATAGTCCGAGATAACTCCCAACGCTACGGAGGAGCATGAGCAGCACCTCGACAACGACAAACTTAGCTCGGGTGTGGAAGCGGCTAAGAAGCTTAGAAAGCAGCGCGAACCCAAGAGTCGGTCATTAAGCATCCATCTAACAAAAAATACTCAAGGACCGGAAGCCCCGGTTGAAGCTCCGACTCGCCCTGTTCGTGAGAAGCGTGTTCCCCACAAACAGAAGTTTTTGGTTTGAACGTGTGTACGATATCGGAAAATTTTTTAGGATCAATCGCCCCCGCCTGCAAAGAGGGGCCGCCCGCCTCGAGGCAATTCGGCCAAAGGGAAGGGCAAGGGTGAGGATTTTAACATGTCTGCTTTTTAGAGTTAAGTCTTAAAAAGGCTCGAGTAAATTTTGAGCTCAACAACAAGCAACTTGCAGATACCGAAGCCCAAAAAGAGTTGAACAAGCCGATCGACAAGCCGGCCGCGATGGGGCCGACCGACCAGAATATGGATGTTGCAAAAGTATTTGCAAATTGTATTCAACAATTTTTAGGAGCTTGAGGATCACGATGACGTACGGCCAACTGTCATTTATGAAGCTGTTGAAGATGGCCACACTCAAGAATGTCCTATGGAGGAGGCAAAAGCTTTCAGAATCGCTGAGCACGACAATTTTTAGGCTCTTCCGGAGGAAACTACCGCTGAAGCTGATCTGCAGCCACCAACTCTGGAGGAAGAGCGCAAGTTGCCCAAGGCTGTTGGAGGTAGAAGACAAATAGCCTTCAAACAAAACTAAACTTTGATTCAGCTGTTCGAACCCCCTCTGCCGCACGTTTCAAGAGGCCACGCCCCGACCCGACTACCAAAATCTCAACTGTAAGCGACCCCAGCAAGAATTAACTCATTGTTCTAGCGCGGAAGAGCTGTTGCTCCTTTGGCGGAGCCCCTGCCACCACCCACACGTCGCCGCCGATCCAAGAAGCCGATGGGAACTGAGGAAAACGTTGAAGAAAATACGGCCATGTAATGTTCGGGTCGCCATTGTGAATTTCCATTTTTAATTCTTGTTCTCACTTTATAATATCTATTCAACAACACTGCCTTAATCTAAAAAAGCTTGATCAGCCTCAACTCCTTTTCACGACGACGGTGTTTACTTTTTTTACGTTTTCTGAAATATTTTGTCCATTTTGAATACCGCATCCCTCCGGAAGGACAATCTGGAACGATTTGAGATTATTTTGTCGCCATGTAGTTTTTGATAAAGTTTTACTGGCTAAACTCTGGTATCGATAAAAAGACATAAACGCCATGGAATTAAACAACAACGAGAAAAGACTATGTTTTGAAGTGATTAATTGCCGATAGGATGCGGCGGAATGCACTGAAAATGCTACTTTTGACCCTTATTCCATCAATTTACAAGATTTTTGATCAAAATGAAGCCGGCTTTGGATTTTATTATTTTTGCTGTAATATTTCATATAACCTATAGGTCAGTAAATACAAAAATTAGATTTGCAATTTTTTGGATTAGTTGTATGCGAATCCCAGATGAAGGAGGTCCAGCTCAAACCGTAAATGTCAATGGTATCCTTCGTTGTCACGGAAAACCGTATGCGGAAGCGAAATTGAAACTATTTGATCATGACAAATGTGAAATTTCGAAAGTTTTTTATTTCTATCAATTTCGTTAGATTCTATGGATGATCAAATCAGCGTAACAATATATCCAGATGCTAATGGCACCTTTTCTATTACGGTAGGAAATTTTATCGGATTTTGCAATTGCAATGTACTCAGGGAACCGGCTACGAAGAACGACTATCAGTTTGGTTGTATATTTTTCATAATTGTGGCGCCAATGTGGTATGCTAATTTCTTCGGGTTCGTAATTAAATTGTGACTTCAGGGATGGTGTTGGTACGTTACAACCTTCAAAATCCATAACGAATATTTGAGCCCTGGAGAGTATGGTGATGTAAGTAAATTTATGATTTTCATAGCTCCAACCCCTGCTGCTTAGCCGGAAAAAGTGCTAAACCTGTACCACATCGACCTCAATACCCTGGATCACGAAATCGATTGCATAAACTGATTCTAGATTTATTTGCGTTTCAAGTGGGCATAGGTTGGGGATTTGCAGATGAATTCTCCGTAGGTGCGGCCGGAATCCGGGGACTCTCTAGGGAGGTACCATTGGCCTTCAAAACAGCTGCCACAAGCTCGAGGGTGAGCGGCCATCTAATTAGCATAATTGAATTTGAAAATTGTAGATATGATATTACCACAATAGTACTTGAATCAGCTCCAAATAAGTCACAAGTAGCATGACTGTAATCGCTAGCGCTTCCATCAGTCCAGTAAGAGATACCTTTTCCTTAAGGTATTTTTAGCTAAGCATTTGCTTTATTTTCGTACTTTGTTTACTGTAAATTCCTCCAATTAGCACCTCTCCACGCTGGAAACCCTCCATCGTTTGAGCGCAAGTTGGGTTCCAGACCAAACCTGAACAAAATAAAATTTGTTAGCATCATCTAGATACTTTGAATAAATTCATTCTCATCAACAGAATGGATCGAGGCAAGATTTCCGCTATACGCATTACAGTACTGCTCGGCGTTCCAGAAAGTTGAGCTAGTGGTGCCATGCTAAATTCCGCAAATTTTGCGTTTCAACCCAAAATTCTTACGAAATAGCAAGAATCCGTTAAGCTATAGTAGGACCAGCCAATGGGGCATTGGGTATCTAAAACATGCAAATTTAGGCAAGGTAATCTTACGCGAAACCGGCGCCGCTTTGCATACATAATCCGGATAGGCAATGGAATCATTATTAGCATATCTTCCGATTCTCCAATTGCCACCTCCACACTTTTCTTCATCTTGAGGGCATTTGTTCATAGGGAAAGCTCGTAGCTAAATTATGTCACTTGTTTTAAAGGTGGTAAGACAGGAGCTTTACCAGGATCACGTTCTGGTCTGTTCCCTCATTTTGACAAATATTATGGGCGTAATCGGTTGAAGAGGAGTCGCTCCACCATCTTGTCATATTTTCTGAAAGATCAAAATTCGACAAACTTTTATGAGTCAAAGTTTAAGAAGAAAATCAATTTATTTTCTTACTTGATTGGTCAAAAGTTCCTCCCAAAAGTGTCGTCCCGGTGATCCAAGTACGCGAATATACGCAAGCATTCGACCAGGTCATGTCTAAATCTCTATATTTAAGTTCTAAAATGCAGACTACGAACTCGAAATAAAATCGTTTTCATCATTGGTGTGTACAGACGCCAAATGACCCCCATATCGTTGGCAGTAGTGCTCGGCCTCTGGGAATGAGGCGTTTTGGCCGTGCTGAAAAATTTGTGGCCTCAGGATATCGAAAACTCGTTACGTAATAGCACATTCCAGTTCCCTTGAAGTACTGCCAGCCGGGTAGGCAGCCTGGCACTAAAGGGTTTTTGCTTTGCTTTTTTCCCCAAAAACTTACGAGTGGAATAAGCACAGATGAAGGGTTGCGAATTCTCACAAGTCAAGCTATTCCAAGCTCCGCCATTTCCGGCGATCGAGCCGCACATTTTCGAACCAGGATTACCTTGATTAATTTGAGCATCAACCTTGAAAAGATTCTGACACCTCCTTGCCAGTTAAAGTAATCGCTAGCCGTCCCATCAGTCCATTTCCATTGCGCTCCAGTATCGTTTCGCCACAGACCAAGCCAAAAGGTACTTCCGGTGAGGTTCGCTAATTTTAATGGTACCTTAGCTTCTAGAAAACCTTACCGTTTCCCAAATACGCAGTTAAAATCGTATTTTGGAAGGCATTATGTACGGAGAGCAAATGCCCATTCGAATTCAGGCATCGCTGTTCGGCCGCCCAAAATGGTAGCGCTAAATTGACGATGTTTTCCGGTTTTCAAACCCTTACCAGCGGTATTAAAGTTTAAACAAGAGTTAAACTCGCTGGCGAACGCCCACCCTGAAGGGCATTGAGCCTCTACACTAACGAATAATGCAGCCAAAAATAGGAAAAGCCATCGCAACATGGCTGACCCCTTCCACTGCTCCTGCTCTTCGTACTGACTGCCATGTGGCTGGCAGATTTTTGCGGTGCTATAAATTCATTAGAGATAAGGGAAAATGGGCACGGAGTGCTAAAGAACACTGTTTGAATAGTCGTTTTTCGTGTAGCGTGCTGGAATTTGCACATTAAATAGAGTACAGAAACCTTTTAAAAAGTATTTATGCATTAAACAAATTTGAATAAACACAAAATATCATCAAGTTATAAAGGTAAATGGCAGATTCAATAATAGTATTGCAACGGTATTTAGAGCATCGAGAGAATTGTTTTTTTGCTTAAAATTATTCTTTCAGGCATCTGGGGACGTGCTTATTATTGACGTAGAGTTCCTGAGTGACACCGGTCCGTTTTCTGCCGGAAGAAATGGCTTTTATGACACAGACCGAGCCTTTTAGCTATGAAAATTTCATTAAAAAATTAATGTTCTCCAAAAATATACCTCAAAATGCGTTTCCGATCCACCTTCGACAAATTCTCCCTGAAAATCAGAATCCGTATGCAAATTTCCTCAAAATGACTTACCGCTGTATCCATTTTTACACCATTCGCCCAAACCTCCATTGTGTCTTTATCTAATATCAGAGTTTTAAGGACTAGGATTCATTGCTCCACCCAGACATATCCGAGTTTCCTGCCCGGCGATGTTCGTCTTCCAAGAAATTAATTTCCGCTTCATTTCCTCCCGGAATGTCTCGAACTTCTAGAAGACGTTGGCTCAAATCGCTATAAAAAGTGGCTCACTTTTCCATCCACTTCTAAGGAATAGCTATAAGCAAACGTGCCAAGGGCTTCGACGTTGATCGAGCATTTTGTAGAACCGATCTAATCAGCTTAGGCTCAAATTTATAAAGATTTAAACACCTCAAAATCGTCTTTTCCAACGAGTTTGAATTTCCAGTCGTAGCGGAGAACCACCTTAAGGTATGAAAATTACAAAAAAGCGTGTTTTCGCTTACCTCGCCATCGACTCTGCACACACGTTTTCCGGTGGTGGTTCCGTGTTCAAATTCGACGAGGTGTACGATATCTTGCATGGGAACTGACCAACGGGCTACTACATCGCCATCGGTGTCCTATAAACATACATCGAATTTAATGTACTATTTAAATAGTGCACGAAGTCCGGCAAAAAATTGCCTGAAACTTGGCTCACCAAAATTCTCCGATTAAGAGATGACGGCATCGTTTCAGTCATCATAACAATGTTTCCCCGGCGCCGTGATTGGCCTGGAATTTTAATGAAACAGCCTATATAATTACATATTAAATCTAGCAACAAAAAGATCGAAGGATCACTCGAAACGGAAATGACGGCTCCAGGTCTAAGCTGGTGGCTCGTTGTCTGGCTTCTCCGACACCAACAAGTTGTCCCGGGCAACCAGCGCCACTCCGAATCCCTTCCCCTCAATTCCAGACTCCAAAACGCGTGATGCCCCAATTTACCAGCTTTGCCATGTTCTTCGTTTTCGGAATGGAAATTCCCGAAATCAAACAGTTATAATAAAACTGAAAAAGAGTTTTATAATCGAATCAAGGGACTACTGGAGCTTATCGAATCAGGGTTGATCTTTTAGATAGCCCCCGGGAGAGTGTGAATCAGAAAATTATAGCCGGAATCGGTTGAGGGAAATCAAAAGATTTGTGATATTTGTTTGAATGGGATCCGGAACAAAAATTAGTCTTGGAAGTCGATGGAAGAGAGGAGGAAGCCCCCCCCCCCATAGGGCGGCCCCCGAAAAATTAATTCCGGCGCGGTTATTTTCAGATCTCTGACGTTGAGGTCTTAATGGCCTAGAGGGAGAGAAAAAGAGAGGGAGAGCTAGAGAGAGACCGGGGGAGAGAGAGAGACCCGCTCCGAGTCGATTTTCAGTGAGAAAACTATGAAGAAAACCCCGGTCGATGACGTCAAACCTACAGAGAAAGTAAATTTTTAATTTCCCTCTGAGAAATACACAAAAAGCGCTGTTAAAAAAAGGACTTGAACAAAATTTAGAGCATTTCAGGGATGGTCGGTAGGTTTCAAGTTCAGCCAACAGTCCTCGTTTGTCGAAACAGCATTTTTTTCACATGCAGCGTTTCCTTGAGCTCGTGGTATCCCATGTTACGATCTCTCCTTTAGTCGGCCCGACCCTTCATCCATGGGTAGCACATGAAGCCGCCGGGAGATGGGCCAAGAGCAACGTCTCTGAGTGCATCCCAGACTCAACTCAAAGATAGAGACAGAAAGAGCCTCTGTCGGTATCCGTGTTCCAAAACGGGGCGGCCGACCGAGTGAGTGAGAGTGTGCGGCGACAGCTGAATGGTGGGCCACTGTTTGCGCGCCTGTGGCGGTGTGTGTGCTGTTTATTCGCGGGTTCGGACCTGTGGGCCTTATCTGGCACCTTTGGCTACCTAATACTGTCGGATATGGAGTGGCTTCAACACATTTACATGTTTGCGCAGTTGCTGTATATGGGATCTGCGGACTTGGGAGGTAGGCTGTCGGTTTAAGGGGTTCGCAAGCTAGGGCTATGGATTTGGTGAGCTATGGAGCGTAGACTTGATTTTTGACGTAACACGTGCCGTTCTCTTGCGAAATGAATTAAGATGATTGACGGCATCCAACTTTAAATTTTCGGTTTTGTCGAATTTTGCATGTCCAAATTGCGTAAAAAATCCAAATCTTTACCTTAACCTGCCGATCCCCTTAGATAAGCTCGAAATCGTCTGTCCATGCATTAATGACATGCTAAACACTTTCATCAAATTTCTGCAGGAATGCTATGCCGACTCCCTAAAGACGTCGGCTACGCGTGTGGCCGCCTCTCCTCATCTACCGCCTATTATTTTGACTCCACCGAAGGAAAATGCTTAAGCTTTGTTTTCCATGTAAAGCTTTTGTCTTTTTTTTTATCATTTTCAACCTCTTTTAGGGATGTGGCGGAAACCAAAACCGCTTCATCAACAAGCAAGAATGCGTAGACGGTTGTGCAGCATTAAGTACGTTTCGAAAAATACCTAATTTTATGTAATTTAGCAAGGTGCGGAAAAGGGCTTCCATTAATGGACTTTGCCGGAAATATTAAGAGATGTGATGGGGATAAAATACCGTGTCCAGGTTGGATCTCTAGTTTCTAAATCCATAATAGAGGTTTAGGCACTCACGAATGCCATGGTGCTGGTATGAGTTCTGTATGTTGCATTAAACCAGGTATAAGCAAAATTAACTAAGATTACGTTAAATTATTCTAGAAAGAGTTTGCCACCTTCCGATCGATAATGGCAATCGCTGTGGGGTAGCTCCAGATACAAGGTACTGTATTCAAATTTATAAACTCGTTTTTTAAACTTTCTAGATTCTATTTTGATTCCGATTCAAATACCTGCCGTTCATTCTCCTATGTTGGATGTGGAGGGAATGATAATAATTTCAAGACAAAAGGAGAATGCTTACAATATTGTTCTACAGAAGGTACGGATATGCTAATTTGAATTCTCGTTATTTTAGTCGTTTGTAAGCGTGGAGACCCTCTACCAGATCGTTATTCAATAGCAAAGCAGATGAGCTGCAGCCGGGGCTCCCCATGCCCTTCAAATTACACGTGTATAAAGGCGACTTCCGGAAATTCGGCTTGCTGTCCGAGCCAAGGTTTGAGACACTGTTCCTTTAAAGGGAATGATTTTTAGAAATGGTTTGCGGCGCTACTTATAATCCACGTGAAGTCTGCCGAAATCCATTAGACAACGAATTGTGGACGTTTGAACATAAGAAAGGGCGTTGTGAGAAGATTCCACAAAAAGTAAACCATTTCTCGTATGCAAATTGAATCATTAGGGGTGCGGCGAACAACTCAACTCCTTTGCCAACATGGAGCAGTGCGTCGAGTTTTGCATTGGTAGCTGAACGCGACTTTTTCATGATCACCATTCATTTTTTGGTTCCTGTCCCAATGATGCCGAGCCGCACATCAACCACCATACCGCGCAGCCGCAACTTTGCGACAAAAGCAAGAGGAATTCATGTCCGGTTGGGTATGAGTGCATGAAAAGGTAATCTCCTAGCTGAGCGCTGTTGTATCCTGTACTTGTTGAAGTTCTCCCTTTGCCGCCATATGCTGTAGATCTCAACCAATATGTCCTGGAGCCGAATCAATATTGCAGACAGGAGGAAAGTGACGTTCTATAAGACTAAATTTAGATTTTTTTTAGCTTTTGGGCCTGTTAGATGCGAAGAGGGGCGGGCGGAGAGTTGTGCGTCCGGATATACTTGTCAGCAAGCTCCAAATAGGGTAGGACAAGTCAAATTTTGAATCGGGTCCTTGGGAGATCTTTAAGATACCTTTAAGACTGGTATGGTCAAGTTTTCTTTAGGAATTTGTATGCTGTACGCCTACCTTACAATGTCCAAGTGGTATGGAAGCGCTTCGAGATGGAGGACGAGCTAGGCGAGGCCAATATTTTATAATTCTAACATGTTTGATTAGAATCTGCACCCCTCGAGTCGAAGGTTCTTGTCCGAGCTCCCATGTCTGTGTCGTCGGATCGAGTCCACCTTCCCCAGGTTCGTCTTTAGTTTCTTAACGTCTTACCTTAGCCGACGTTCCAGGTTTCCGCCCCAAAACACTCTGCTGTCGTCCCTTGCAGCGTTGCGTCGTCCCATATGTTGAGAGCCTGACGAAGAAGACGAAACGTTGCTTTCCAGGTGGAAATTTGAAGATTGCGTACTTATCAGGGTGCTTTGAGGCGAAAATAAGTGCCCATCAGCCACTCATTGCTTGCCTGTAGCGGAACCTACTGAATCTTTGTTGAATATTAAAGGTTAGTATTTATTTACAATTTATCTATGTTTTTACGTTTGACCTTTCAGAATTGACGTTCTACTGCTGCCACACAGTTGATGTGTTTTCCTGCTCGAGTGGGCTTCAACCTTTAGAAGATCGAAGTACAAAACGACCAATAAAGTATGAATATTAACATAATTAGCTAATGAAGTAGTTTTTTATAGGTGTGAAGTAGCGGATCCTAATTCCTGTCCAAATGAGCATTTCTGCGATGTATTAGCGGACGGGACAACAGCATGCTGTCCGTTTGAGGCCACGCAGCAGACTTGCGTAGAAGCATTAACAAATTATGGCGATCCTATCACGTGTAAAGGTATCAGTGCCTTCAAATAGAACAAAATATCTTATTAGGTTGGGACGACCCTTCCTGTGGCCACGATTCAAAATGTCGAAAAGCAACTGATGGTCACTACGTGTGCTGTCGTGAAGTATCTAGCATCTTCAAGGAATTGGCCCAAAACGCACCGTTCATTCTGTTTTAAGAATGTACTAACATAATAAAGCTTATTATCAAAAAAAATAGGAAATTAAAACCGCTTATAGCTTCGCGCTTGGCGGTAGGTCGATGAGGTTTCCGTTTGCAAAGACGTTGGTGGGATCGAGCTCCAACTAAAATACAACTTTAATTAATTAAAAATTAGATCCACCTTGATAGCCTTCAGCAAATCCATTCCTACAGATCCTACCGTACCCTGCATCCATTGTTTGCGGAGTTTACCTAAAAACTACTAAAAATTAGCATAAGCCTTACCAATTCCATGATGATGCGAAATCGAGCCTCCACAAGCGATAATTTCATCCCTGGCAGCTGTCTAAATACTTAACACATTAAAAAGCCTTTATAACCGTTAAAACCTACCTCGATCCTGTCATAAACCTCCAGGGCATTGTCCAACCCCCGAGCGTTAAATCCAAAATAGAAATACACACAGGCGCCGGCGTCGTAGACTTGGGTAACGCTAAAATCGACGTTCCACATTTCTATATTTTGAATTAGCATACCGGCAACTTGCCAACGCCGGGTATTTAACGCCAGCTTCCTTGGCTTCCCGCTTGATCAACTGCTTCACATTACGGCACAGGTTCAAGACCTATTTTAAAGGTGTAGCGACATCTGTACACCAACCTTATCCCAAGGGACTGAAGTCTCAAACGATTCTCCCAAGACTCCGTACTCCATTCCGAGGTCCTGAAGTGAAAAAAATAGGATTTTTAGTAGGTTATTGAAATTACCCTCAAATATGCAATAGCGAAAGTAAGGCGATAGCCATAACGTCCATTTTCTTCACCTCCAACTACGCCGTAGAACTAGAAACACATCGTCAACCATTAAATTGGTTAAATACCTGTTCAGCCAAGGCATACAAGCGCTTTTCTTGCTGATCAACTTCTTCGGCGGTTCCCTCGAAAACGCAGGTTGCGGCTACCATCTCGTCCAGCTAAAGCATTTATATAATTTTTAGAAAACAATTAAACCTTACCTTAAATCCCTTATACCAGGTGACGTAGAACTTGGAAGCCTTTGCCTAAAACTGCTTTTTGACAGGTTGAGGCATCGATTCACCTTGAGCCCGGCCCACACCCCCTTTTGCTCGGTTTTCATAGCTTGCCCCATGATGAACTGCTCGTTGTCGACGAGACGGAGGGAGGCGGGTTGGCAGCGCTAAATTGAACCGTAAATTTTATGGGATTTTTAATACTTGTCTCGCAACCTCCCGGAAGAAGTCGACTCCACGCTTGAAGTCGGGGAAAACGAGAGATCCAAAGCGTTTGACTGGAGGGATTGGGAAGAGTTTTAGGGTGACCTGGATCAGAATTGAATTATACATTTGAATGTTCTACTTGAGTAACGACTCCCAAAGTTCCTTCAGATCCCATGATAATTTCTTGAAGGTCTGGGCCAGAGGAAAGGCGTGGGACCTGAAAAATATAGAAAATCGGATTTTCGAGTTTACCTGGCATTGACGATGGATCAAACCCTTTGTCGTCACCAGATTAAGGTGTACAACAAGGTCTTCAATGTTGCCATACCTTAAATCGAGCTTAAAAATTTAAACTACGTTTTTTTACCTGTTCTTCTTCATTCCACTAGCTCGTGTCGAGACCCAACCTCCGAGGGAAGAAAATTCAATTGAATCTGGCTCATGGCCACAGGTATACCTAGGGTCAAATGCTGGTTTTCGAAGGCAAATAGGTCTAACCCCTTGGCATTCAACTGGCGCTCCAAGGACTGTCCAATAATCCCGGCTTCCGCTCGGCACGTCAAATTCTGTGGGTCAATCCACAAAATCTTGTCCATAAGCGCCATATCGATAGAGGCAATTGATCTACGCTCATTTAGCGGGCAATCCAAAGCATTTGAAACCGAGGTGCCTAAATGAGATGTAAAAAATTGAATCTATTCTCCGATACCTCCTCCAATCGGAATCAGAGCTGTGTTGGTCTTCAGGGCGCCCTCGATAATTTTTGAGACCTAATTTGCATATACTAAATTTCGAGTCTGTGTAACTTGGCCCTCATCCTTAGGCCACACCACCAAATCTGGGCATCGCGGCAGGGCACCGTAGCGTAGGTGCATCATATCGTGGACCTAAGACCCTAATTGAGGCGTGTTTCAGAGCTTACCGTATGCCCATGAGCCCTCATCATCCGATGCTGAGCCGCATTCGAATACGCAATATCGTGAACTCGCAGAAAATCAATAAATTCTTGGTTGTTATTGGCGGGCTGGATTTTGAGGTGATCGATCGGCTAAACGAATCGATTATGACTGCTTAACGTAAACTCTAAATTACCTGGCTCGGAGTCTTGTAGTCTAGATCAATGCCGAGGTTCTGTTCAAACCATGGGCGAAGTAGTGGTAAGGTTTGGCCGGACATGTCATACCTATTCAAGTCCGGCATTTGCGTCAGAATTAAAGGTAGAAAGCTACCTCGAGCCGGTAAACTCGACTTCTCCATCTTTGTTGATGGCAAAAAAGGAGTCGCGGTATCCCCAACCGTTCCATTTCAGGATGAGATCGCTAAAAATAGATGTAGAAAAACTTCAAAAGCTGGGTTAATCCATTTTCGTGTATTTTTCTACCTACCGATATGATTGCGGCACATTGAATTGTTGCACTTCGGCCATCGTTCGATTTAGGTTGGTATGAATGTGGGCAAGTGCAGGAGAGGGGGGAATGTGTCGCGAATACTTGCCGACTTATCGCGATAAGGAAATTGACCCCCGTGCACGCCACTCATTTCGGCCATATCAATGGCAATGGATCGGGGGTATTGGGGGTGGATTAAAGGGATGGTGAAGCTGGGGTTGGAGGGGTTGAAGAAAATCCTAGTCCCAAGTCCAAGCCTAGTTTAAGCCTAGCCTACGCGTAAGCCCAACCTAAGCCTAAACCTAAGCCTAACTCTTAAGCTTAAGCCTAACCCAAGTAAAGTGGTCGGGGACCACTCCAAACCTAGCCTAAGCCTAGGTCTAAGTCTAATTACTCAACTTCCTTTTTCGAATGTTCCCAATGTACTTTTTTACCTTCTAGATGAAGATATCGTTATAGTTTTATTTTCTTCTTTTTTAACGAAATTTTTTTGCAAAAGCAAAAAAAGATTGGGGGCGGGTCCAACCCCCCGCCCCGCGCTTCCTGCCGCCCCCCCCCCGTGGGGTGCTGTGGGGTACTTCGGCCCCCTGGCACCCCCCCCCCAAAATTGTTCTTTTTTTTTTTTTTTTTTTATTTTTTTTTTAAGCCTAAGCTCAAGCCTATGCGTAAGCTTACCTAAGCCTAAGCGAAGCCTAAGCCCAAGCCTAAGCTAGGTTAAGCCTAAGGGAAGCCTAAGCCGTTCTTGTTTCAATACCTTTACATCAAAATGTGTCACTGCGCTTTAAACCCAGTTTTAAACGCCTCCCAGTCCCTTCCAAACCACAACCCCTACCCCCACCACCTCTCCTAGCTTCCGTTTGCGGTGTGGAGCCGTGCATTTTGAGTGGCTAGGCCACACGTCAAGTGGCGAGTTGCTCAACTGTCCGGGGGCACCCTTTAGTGGCCCGCCGGGACCTCGATGTGGCTGCTGCTAGCTCGAAGAGGAAGAGGAAGGCCGTCTCGGGCTCCTTTTGCGGGGTGGTCGTCGTCCCCTCTTTAATCCCAGGGACTAACATGTTCTGGGGGTTCTGTATGTGTGCTTGGTACTGTCCAAGCCACTACCACTAGCCGCTGGTACCTATGCAAACGAAGGGGCCCGGGTGTTTGGATAACCCACTTTTGGGGTGGGGTGGGGTAGGGTGGCCACGGGGGCCCGCAGCTAGGTGTTAGCTGGGGTAGGAATAATTAGGGGTAAAAGCTTATTAGGTGGACAAGGTGAAGCTTCAGCACAGCTCGGGCGTTCATAGGCAGTACGTACTACAACTCCAAGAAATTCCATCTTGACCCCTCTGAATCTAGCACCAAGAACGTTCCCGAAAAAAGCAATCCGTGCCCGACCCGTCGCCGCAAGCGCTGATTCATCGCGGGTCCGACCATGGTGCCATTCAACGCACAGCGTTCGCTTGGGAAATCGTCGCCCCGACGATTGCCCTCGCAACTTCACCCCCGCCGACCATCGATAACGGCCCATTGTTAGGGATTGGTGGTGGGAAACAGGAGGAGTTGAATGAGATTCGAAACGTTTGATGCACTTTCAGGGTGCTGGGGTTTGAATAGGGAATGGTATTCTAATTTTTTACGCTAGTTATGCTAACTCTTATGTGAACATTTTGAGAATGAGCTAGTTTTGAGCATGACAAGCTAAGAAAGATTGCAGAACAGTTTAACTGGATTCGTAGGGTCTGATGCAATTTAGGGCGCTCAAATCGGGTTCATTCAGTTCATGATTTTTTTGTTAATGCTTCGAACGTCCAACTCCAAAGCCCAAAACACCCAAAACTCTAACATATGTATTTTGATTAAGCTGGATTTTCGCTTAGGCTTGTCCTAGAAAGTTAATTAAGCGCTTAAAGCTGGTTTCATCTCTATAAGACCGATAGGTATGAAATTCCGCGAATTTCAATCGAGCCCTAGCTTTCGGAACGATCCGAAGCCATCCTATCATGGAGATGGTCCAAATCGGCAATTAATTTTTCTAAATTACTACAAATTTGTAGAGCTCGTCGAGCTGGTTTCAGTCATATAATTTTCCACTAACCGGATTTACCGGATCTTCGAAGAGTTGTTAGCGTCTAAAGTCTGTCTCATTCCAAAGCAATCCCAATTATCAATTTTAACATTGGCCCAAATCGACCTCCAAACCAATAAAACCCAATCAATACCCCCAATTCTCAACACCATTTTCTCCCAATTTCATCCAATTCCTAGCATAGACGTGCATCGGATGATGGTCGGTAGTAGGCCCCGCCTCCAACTAGCTCGAGCCTCCTCGCCGCCCGGGTTATGACCCGCCTCCCACCACTATCCTCTCCCCCTCCTCCCCAATCCTATGTACACCCCATCCACATCTACCATCACCAACCATTGCCCTTTTGGGGTGTGTTATGTAGCTTGGACTTTATATACTTTTCAATGTCTCTAAATTATTCAAATTCACTTTTGAAACGTTTTTCAATTTTTAGGCTATTTTTCAAGGTTTCAGGATATTACCGAATTTAGTGAATAAGCATCGGAATCCTGTAGTTGATCTTTTAAAACGATAAAAACGATAGTATACATTTTCTATGGAAATACTGTGATACGCTCACCTTCTCGCTTTAATGCGTCATCCAGCGATACCCAAAACAAAACACGACCCATCTTCTGTTCCCTAGTTACCATACCCCGAGGGAGACCTCTATATTTCATTTTTAACGCTTTCCTCATCCATTTTGCAGAATAATAACTTTTTCTCGATACTTTCTATTTTCTATTCCTCGCCTTTTAGAGCCAAACCCTCTAAACCACTTGGCCAGGATGAAACACGCGCTGTTGATCGCCTCCCTCCTCGCGGTATTTAATTCTGGCTATACCCGCAATATTCGTCAGGTCGGCTCCCCAACCATCTTCAACTTCAAGCTCCACGAGTCGAATGGTTGGTCTTTTTGCATTCTACTATTTTCGCGCCCTTCCGCTGCACTTGGCATTTAATCAAGTTTTCGCCCCCCTACTCGCTAGCCACGTCCAATCAACTCCTAGCTCTTTCTATCTATCCAATGTTTTCTTGCTCGAATGGATGGGGGGATGTGAAGTGTCCAAGTTTTGAAGGGGGCTTCTCGTCGGGGGCCCGTTTAGGAAGAAAAAAAGTAACCTTCCCAGGGGTAGATTAGGCTACTTTGCGAGGTGCGCAATATTTGTACAAAGAAGATGGGCCGGAGGGGGCGAAGTGGGAAGTGATAATGGAATTTGTTAAGGTTTCATGGTCTAATTTTTGGATTTTGGCCATTTGCCAATAGGTTTAAATTCTAGATCTCGAATTGATGATTATTTAGACCGTTTTATGCTCATTTTCGGATTACTTAACCGCGTCCTGACGCCTTTAGAGCTTGTTCTAAAACCCGAGAGACAAGATTTTAGAAATTGAACTAATAATTTTAGCTTGTAGATTTTGACTTGCCAATACCTTTAAACTATTTTATGCAAATTGTCCCACCGGAAGTACCGTGTCCTCAAAATTTTGAAGCTTAAGGGCCCGAGTTTTAAGAAACAACCGGATTTTTCCGACTTGCTCTACCTTTCACCCCCGTTTCCACAGTTCCTAGCTAAAATTCTGTACTTTCTCACCTCACCCGTCCCTCAGAATTTGCCTATTAGCTTCCCCGGCTTCTTCCCGCCCCTGAAGACAATACACTTTCCCGAAACCGTCCCACCGGAAGTGAGAAGTAAGAAAGACATCCCCACTGTCTCGGGTCCCATCCCTCTTCTTCGGTTTGTTGTGCTTTTGGGGGGCCCAGGGGGGTGGTGCGAGACCGGCGTGGTGGTGGGGGTGCTTGTCACCTTTTGTGAGAGCTGTACCGGGGTTTGTTTGGGCGTTCTGTTTGCGCGTCGGGCCGGGACCGACCTTCAGGCGGTTGGGAGGGCTTGCACCGTAATTGGTGCTCCGGAGCAAGATGGTCTGTGGAGGAGGGGGAGGTTTTAAAAAGGGGATCAAGAGCCATTTCCGGGGTTGGGTCAGTAGTGGGGGGGGGGCAAGTGGCCGTTTAACTGGCCCCAAGTGGTGTGGCTGTGGGGGAATCCCCTAGGGGTCTGGGTTTCTTTTTGGCTTCTTCTCTGTCTGGGGGTGGCACCATCATGCGAACAAAAGATGGGCTACGCTGATTTAGGGATGGCCAGCGGGAGAGACATGATGATACACTTTTGTTGAAGCTTAGCATTACGGATAGGGGTCTGATCTAGAAAACGGGTGTCTTAGGACCTTTAAAACCCTCTAAAAGTTCTTGAAAAGGCGAGAAAACGGGCCTTGTTGTTTTCAAATTAAATCCAGTCTTGTTTTTATGCGCGAAATTCTTACGAAAAATCCGATTTATGCGAGCTTCGCATGTTAATTTCTAATTCGACGCTCAAAATACTTGTTCGAAAAATTTTACGTATTTTGATAAAATCAAACGCGTCTGTTTTTCCGACTTTTCACAGCTTTTTGATGATGTAACGATCACGATCTCAGGTTTCTAGGGAAGAGCGATTTTTTCCATCAAAGCTGGTCGTAGAGCTAATCTAAAAACTTTAGCTGCTTTTTAAAACTTGTAATATCTCATAATAGCTCTCAAAAAATCACCCCAACCCTCCAGTCCACCAATAATCACTCAAAAACCCTCCAAACAACATCCCCAGTGTCCCCTCCCGTTGAGACAGATCCATTCGCGTGGTGGCCCTCCGCGCCGTCCTCGTCTTCTTGGCGAAGAAAAACGGCCGAGGGACATGTCAGAAGGACAAAAAAGGGGCACAGCCTAATAGCGGTCACCCCCTTCGTCCAACACACCACTCCGGGTCGATTGCCTCCTCCTCCTCCTTTGGGCAGTCGAATTTCGAGAGGGAGGGCCCATACTAGGCGGAGGGTTGAGAAAAACTAGTTGCCTGCTGATATAGGGACGGGAGGAGGGTGCCCAATCCGAGAATGTTGAAGTTACGAAAAGAGCTGACGGGAAATTGGGTTGTGCGCGAAGGGGGGTCATTTCGCCAGACCGTAGGGGGTTGGAATTTGATTTGGTGGGATGTTCGGAGCGGGGGGTAGTCTTTCGATTGAGGTATAGTGTCAAAATGTCAGAAATGGGAGAGGCTAGGCAAGGGTTAGGAGAGGATGAAATATGTTACGAGCCATTAAAAGGGCCGGAAAAGCTTTGGTGTGAATTTTGCCGTTTTTGTAAGCTAAAAGCGAAGGTCTTCAGCGACCAAAGATTCATAAATTTGAATTACCTATCAGCCTATAAACCTACGAAAGGTTTCTCCTGAAGTCTAATTCCGCCTTGTTTAAATTTGAAACTCTTACTGAATAGTTTTTCGGATTTTCAAACCTACCGCATACCTCCCAATCCTCTTATCTCAACACCTTTCCCGACGCAACCCTGATATAGGAATGTTTTGAATGTGTTTGCATTGGTAGATCGAGCAATTTGTGCCGGTGTGCAAGGGGGTGGTGCTCCCGCTCCTCAACAATGGCCGACCTATTAGGCGCGAATCACGGTCCGGCGCGTGTGTCCTGCTCCCCACTTCTCCAACCTATAGCCAAGGCCGGTCGAGAATCGAGGCATTCTGGAATACGGCCCCTTATCCCTAAATATGGCCGGGGTGTAGGTTTGGCCTGGTTTTGGGTGGGTTGGCGACGATACCTTTTACAGCCGTATCGTATCGTGGTTGGGTGGTTTTTGTGGGGGTGGGTGTTGGGGTGTGAAATAATCTGGAATGGTATATCTAGGTCCCTAGGCAATCTAAATATATTTAAGAAAGCCTAAACCTCTCATATTCCCCAAAATCCTCTCCAGACATTAGCACAGCCGTCATGCCCCGCCCGGCTTCTTCAACCCGAACATCTGTCGAGCTTTTTACGTACTCCATCCCCGAAACCTGGAACAAAACCTCCTCACCGCGGTTACCCCCGTCTGGAAACCCACCGGAAATGAAAGACCTTCTACTCTTCTTTTTGACCACCACTAACCTCGCCACGACTATCGCAGTTGCCCTAGAGGGCCAAGGGCCAAGGGTCCAGGACCCCGCGTCTATTCGCAGATTCGGTTAGGCCGTGGCCAATACTCTCGAAAAGCCCTCCTCCCCGTGCACCCCTAAAACGAGCCATTCACTACCAAATGCGGCTTGAGGGCTAGGCGATGGAAAAAGCAATGGAAAAAGAATTGAAAAAAGCGGAAAACCTATGGAAATCTTTGTTTTTAGACAAGGAAGTTAACGACTGTGTGGAGAAGGCGATGGAGCAGATCCAGCAGGAGACGTGTCTGTATTGGGAGGATGCCGATGAGGATAGCCAGAATCATGTGACGTTCCTGCAATCTGGGTAAGCTTTGTAATGGTTTTTGTGAAATTACGGAAAAAAGCCGTTCGGTACCTCGCTCATTCGGTAGAGCTTAAAATTCTGAGCAGGTTCTAGGTCTCAAAAATCCTATCATCCTCTATTCAAACTTTATCCCCCAATTGCCCCGCCCGTGAAAAACGGCTGCACAGGGTTCGAGCCGTACCCCGCCCTAGAGCTCTCCCCTCAGGGGGTAATCCTGTTTGCTAGCGTCTGCACAAACAATTCTGGTATTCGACGGGTCGTCCGTCGGGGACCAGGGTCCGACGGGGTCAAGCCGTCCATCAAAATACGAGCCCCAGGATTACGCATGTAGACTCGCGCGAGCTGTGGTTTGGCTAATGGGTGGTGTAGCCGGGGGTACCAATTTGGTGGAGGGTCGGAGTCTCGCTGGGTAATGCCAGGCACCGTTTTTCGGCGATTAGCTGGGACAATGGCCAGTCAGGGGGGGATGGGTCGGATCTGGGGGGTAGCTGGCCGGGGGTTAGGGATCCTTCCGCGCGAATCCAGATGACAGCTGGCTGGGGGCATGGAGGCCTAATTGTGAACAACGGCACCGGGGAGGGGGGGTCCAGGGGGGGCTGACGAGCTAGTTGGGCGTGGAATGACAGCCGGATAATGGGTGTGTTATTCAAATTTTGGGGTTAGGGTGTTGGCGCAAAAAAGTGCAAAAAATTATTTAGAAAGTTCACCATAAAACCCGGATTTCAGATTTTTTAATGTGTTGCAAAAATATATCATACAGTATTTTCGATTTTCTACTGAAGGGCAAACATCTTAAATCATCCCCTAACTCTTCAAAATCCCTCTTTTTAGACACTGCTCCTGGCAAGCCTCCAACAAGACCGTCCACCTCAGCCCAAACTGCATTACGGTAGGCTTTTAGCCTATTAAATTATATTTCTGGAATTTTGGGATAGTTCGTGCTCAATTGATCATTTTCGAACTCCTAAATCCGAAGGTTCCGGGGCTGTGGTTTCAGCCCGGAAGGCCTAATTGCCCAATGGCCCTAACAATCCATCACCATCCGTCACCGGGCACGAACAGTAGCGCAAAAGTGGCCATTTTGTGTGGTTATTATGCAAATTGGGGGGATGGGTGTTTTTCGAAATGTTCGATTCAAATTTGGGGTGTTTGGACAGCGCCTAATTTATTTTCCAAAACTTTAAGACCAAACGCTGCATTGATTTTGTAGTTTAAAGTCTGCTATAAAATTCTGCTGAAAAAATGAAAAACTTAATGGAAATTTTGTTTTTAAATTTTTGAGATTCAAATTAAGGAGGTTTGAAAGGTTCTGCGCTATTCCTTAAAATTTTAGATGCAAAAAATCAGAACAGTATCGTAACTGAAACTTAGCGACGAATTACGAATTAGAATAACAGAAATCTTAGTAAAGTTTTAAACCTATAACCTTATTCCCACCCCAACACGCGCCTAATTGCGGCTTAACCCCTAACCCCGCCGCTCCTCACATGAGACAATTACACCAATTTGCAAAGTCGTTTCGGCACGGCGCGTCATCAATCATCTTTCGTAGACGCCCGGGGCCCTTGTGCGCGCACTCTCGAATTGCCGGCCAGGAAGGGCAACAGGGCCCAGGGGCCCTCCGATTAATCCAGGGGCCCAATTTAGAGGACCCGATGGTGGGGGAAGGGTCAGCATCAGGGGAGAAAAGTTGGACAATGGTCGTCCTCAGTAGGGTGCAATTTTTGGGGGCTGTTTTTATGCTATTGTCTGATGGTAATGAGGGGAGATCGGGTAGATAGTTCTGGAGATGGGGTTGATCGTTGTTTTTGAAAATTAGTGGGTTTTTGGTTACTTCAGGACTATAAAATTAAAAATAGAGCTTTTTCCTCGTTTTTTCGAAGATTTGAATCGAAGGTACGGTATCTATTTGAGAAACTACAAAAAAATTCTTGATACTTAAAATTTTTGTCGATTTCTCTCTAGAAAGGTCTAGACTTTTAGATTCTAAGAATTCCTAAAGGACCATTGTAGGCAGAGAATTGATACAGTGACTAAAATAAATCACATTTTGCGTATTTAAAACGATTTAAATATTTGTTCTTTCAGGACGACACCTGCTACGAAATCCTCGGCAAAGTCGCCGACATCGAGCAGCCCAAGCGCCACATTAGCCGCCACATCAACATCAAATTCAACTGCACTGGTTGGTCTTTTTCCTCGGCTCGCACCCTTTTTCCGCACCTGACACCAACCCGTCAAAATACACAGCCCCCCAAGGGTGGCCCCTGCAATTTCCAGCTCACCCTGTCGGAAGGCCGAAAAATTGCCCTATAGCACAGACCACGCAGCCGGCCCGGCCAGTAGGAACCCCTGAAAAAGCCACCATTTATGACCTTCAGGGTTCTCAGGGATTTTGAAATTTCAAGTGAATGCAAATTTAGAAAATTGCGCTTATATTAGATTCCCCCAAGCAACTTGTTCACGTTCCCGGACTCACTTTGTGGGATGCCAGAACTGAAATTAGGTGGGGACCCAGGGTGGTCTCCCAAAAGAAATGAGGCCCACCATTGTGCCGGTGGAAATTGGTCTCCAAATCCCTAGTGTCTCCCCATGGGGTGCATGTTGCAATTTCAGAGCCAAAAGGGCTAGTAGCCAATGGGGGTAGGGAGTGGATTAGCCGGTTGGGTCCCGGCGCGCGCGCCTAATGCCCCGGCGAGGGGTCAGCTTTGGCATTAGGTACTTTGATTAGGGATTACGGGGGATAGGGGGAAGGGTGTAGCGAGTAGTGTCGTGTAATGGGGCGGATCGGGTTGTTTTTAGGAGTATTACGGAGTTATTCTCCTGATACCTGGGAGAGGAAGATACTTCGGCCGGCAATTTTATAAATTAACCCTTTTGTATAGTAAGATACCCTTAAAAAGCACATATTTAGACGTAAAATAGGCTTAGGAGAAAAATATAAGGTGTAGTATCTCGTAATGGGCGTATCACATTGTTTTTCAAGCGTCACTTTTAGTACTAGAAAATCATTGATGTCACTGACAGGGTTATAATTTAACTCGATAGTACGCTAGAGTAGGGTATTATGTAGTCTATAGCATATTGTAATTAGGCGTATCACGTTCTTTTAGCAGCTTCACCACCCTATCCCTCTTCCAGTATGATTGATACCCTTAAAAGCAGCATACCATCCAAAGACAGATGGGATCCGGCACCAACACCCAGATGGTTGCCCCCCGGGGTTTACGATGAGGACTAACCCACCCCATCCGAGATTGTCCTCCCACGAGCCAGTAGCCCACCGGAAAAGGGCAGCGATCCGGGCCTCCGGTTTCGAATGCCGGTTGATGATTCCCTTCGCCATGGTGGGCACGAGCTTCAGGGCAGATGTTCGAGTGGGGGAGGCCCAAGGAAAGGGCCGGAAATTGCTCGAGTGGCCGTAAGGGTGCCGCGAATCAAGCACGACCTCCTCCCCCATCCTCCACCGCTCTCTAAACGTTATTCGATCTCGCTAATTTCGTTCCGGAGGGGGGGCACAATGGGGGTAGCGGGCTAGGGGGGATGAGGATGGGTCGGGCTATGGCTCGGGAGGGGGAGATTAGAAAAATTTGGGGGTACCGGAAGGACCGGAAATGCTGGGCGTTGGTAGCGTCACCTAGAAGGTGTACCGAAAAAAATACCTCCTTCTGGCGACTTCAATTAGTTAGCAGTTTTAAAAATGCCTAAAAACAGAGGATCCAGGCGACCTGCGCATGCTATTCAAAATTTTCCGTCCAAAAATACCAAATTTTGCAAAAAGCTGAATATCGATAGAATTATTTGAAGTTTGAGAAAAGCGGAAGCTCTTTTTTCTGCCCGTTTGAAGAGCTTTTGAATGGCAGAAAGACCAGCGCACTCCTAGCTTTCTCCGAGGCGCTATAAAGATTTTTTGAACACCCAGTCCCAACTGCCGTCCCTAGGTTCTTCATCTTTGAATCCTCCATTCCTCCAGACCAGTTTACCTCCCAACCAACCCACTCCACCGCAGCCCGGAAGCAGTCCCTAATTTGAACAGCGTCCCGTTGTGTTGGGCGTCAGACGCGGGCCACCACCGTCCCGACGGGCGTATCGCGTTACGGTTCGCAAAAATGGATGAGGTAGTGGGGAATGAGGCTGTGGGGTGTATGTTGGCAGCTGTATTTGCGGTTGGATCGCCTTACTTGGGCGAGTCGCGGTAGGGCCATGGTGGCACTTTTGGATCCTCGAACCATCGGTGGCTGTGGGGGGGTTGGGGGGGCAGGTAGAAGAAGGTCAAGTGGGACCCTGGGGGCCACACAAAAGAGGGCCCGACCATCACCGTCGATCAGAAGTGGGCACTCGCTCAGGACCTCACCTACCTAACGTCAAAACACCTCATCGTGCCGCTTCCGGGAGGAGGGAGAGGGGGGCGTGATGGAATTTCGGGGAGGGTTGGAAAATTGATTTCCGGAGAATTCAGGGGCCTCAAAAATGGATTAATAAGAAAAACAGAATGTTGGCACTGAATTTGTCATAATAACCCCAGGAAAACCTCACATTAATGTGCGATTTCGAGTGGCTTCCGGTACGTCATTAGCATAAAAAGTGCTCTCCTACTTTTCCCTACTACTGATTTATAGCCCTACTTTACGTAAAAATACTTTCCCTCTTCCGCTGCACTTTGAATTTAATTTCCCGCGCCCAGAAGTGGGGATCTTCTTTTTCATACCCCTGCCCAATTTCACCATCTTCGGGGGGTACCCCCGGAAAAACGGAGTGCGCCCCACTATATAGCCTTTGGTGAATGGGATTGGTGGGAATTCGTGAAATTCAGGACTGGGGGTGGGTTTTGAGTTACAAATCGGGTTCTAAATGGATTTAGATCTAGTTAAGGGGATAGGAAATTAACCGGAATTTACTGAAACCGCGAAACTGATAAAATTCTTTGTTCTGTGCCATTTTTATGTAAAAAATCTGGCTCTGAAAACATTGAAATCCATTTCAGGACATGCTAATAAATTTAGACAATTTTCCGTTTCGATCCAAACCCGCCAAACCGGCCAACAACTGTTGGTCGACACCATTTTTCCATTCCCATCCATTTCTCCCACCTCTCCCCCATCACCAAGTCATTCCTTAGCCGCCACCACCCTTTTAAAGAAGCCGCCGCCAAACCGCTTACTCACGCCCTTGGTGGTGGTAGCCCTAAAACGGCAGGGGCCATATTGTGGATTGGTGGGGGGACCGGCATTAGCATCTCCCCGGCCAGGCCCTAGAAGATCTCCATAACCTTCGCGCCTCAAAACAGAGACGCCCAATTAAAGGGCACCGCCCCTCACAGTCCATGAGCGGTTGCATAACGGGATTTGCATAAGTGGCGTAGTGGGGGATTTCCGCTTTTCGGGGTAAAAATAGAGGGACTATCTCGGAAATATATCAAAAAAAATGACGCGTTTCGCGCCGAAAGTTTTTGGAGTCTCTTAGAACTAAAACTCTGTAAAAACAACTGATTTTGCATCCCAGATTTGCATAGGTTGAATAGCAGGGGTTTCCGCTTAGAACTGCCAATTCCTAAGAATCCAGGAATTCGAACATTCTGAAAGTTGTTAATTTTGCATCACCTTGTTTGCATAGATGACTCCGGTGTTTCCGCTTTTCGATTGAAATAGGTCTTCCTGGGACTGTCGGGAAGCGAAAATTCCAAAAAACGCCACGCAAGTATCGAATTTCTTCGGAATTTCTCGTAACCCGAAAATCCTGAAAACCACCGGTCTCTCGCCCTTTGCACCCTTTAAACGATAGTACAAGCTAGCCCGCAAGCCCTCGAATCCTAGCCCCTGCACTAGCCTGAGACTCTATGAATACGCGATGACACTATGAACGCCCTAAAATTGGGTCCCCCTCCCCGGGCGACGACGGCAAAATGGCCACGTTTTCCGGAGGTCCCTACCAGAAAATATGCACACAACACGATTCCCTCATGATTTTTTGAGTGGGGGAAGGAGTAAAAATCGGAAATTGCACATGGAAATCTGGAAAACCAGAAATAAAGTATTTTTTTCAGAAAAATGCACGACCGAATGTCATCATGGAGGTGTGCTGAACGACGACTGCACCTGCTCGTGCCAATATGGCTTCAAGGGACAAAAGTATTCAAACTTTCGTAGGTAAAATCAGTTGTATTTCAGCTGCGAGACGCTGAGCAAGAAGGCCCAGTTCACCGACAGCACCTGCGGAGAGATTCGGGCTGAGCCGTCTGGAAACGTGATGTTGAGCACCTACCCTTCGGCTTACTCCAAGACGACCTTCTGCCAGTGGTTGATCAAGGTATAGAAAGTTAAAATTCATATATTAACTTTCTAAATTATGGACAAAATTTATTTTTAGGCATGAAAAACGTAAAATTTAGAAAAAGATCTAAAAAAATCGTTTTTAATGCAAATTTTATAGAAATAAGCCAGTTTTTAGTCTTTGATTTAGAGAAAAATCATGCAAAACTTTTAAATTAATAACATTCGACTATTTCCAGGCCGCCGATCCGTGGGACGTCATCGAATTGAGCTTCGACGACTTCGACCTGGACACCACCGACATGCCGCCCGGCCAGCACTGCAACGATCGCTTCAGCGTCTTCGGATCGTACTCCGCTGTTAATCCGTAAGTCTTTAAATTTCTAGCTGCTGCTCACAACAAAATCAACTTCCCCAAAAACTTTCGCCATATCCAAATCTCATTAACCAATTGACCGCACTAAAACAGCCATGTGGCCCAGGGGCATTGAGCCGATCGGTGGGTAAATTCGGGGGTATGCAGTGGGGAAGGATGGGACATGCTAATTGCGGACATTTGTCCCTCATGAGTCCCCAGGAAGCGACAGATTGGGCCTCTCCACTGCCACACACGCACATAAATAGCCAGATATTTGGTCGTGCCTCGTTATACGCTAGTTAGGGGACGGGGTCAATTGGGGAGGGTGGCATTAAAGGAACTGGGAAAGCAAAAAACCGGCTAAGATACTTTATACACCTTTTTCAGCTTCCCTTGCGATGGTGAGAAGCCGAAGCGACTTCGCTCCGACTCCAACTGGCTTTTGGTTGAGCTGAAGACCGACGCGTTCGCCGAGTCCAGCAAGAAGGGACCTGCTATGCGTTACACTGTTATTAATACAAAAAGTGGTACGTTTTCCCTGTTAAAAGGAGCATGAGCTCCCCTGATAGCCAGAGGTAAACCTGAATTTTATCGAAAATCTATTCCTGACCCTGAGTATAGGTGTATAAGCCTCTAAGTCGAAGCCTAAGCCTAAACGAAGACGAAGCCTAAGCCTATGCCTAAGGCGCAGTCTAAGCCTAAGCCTAAGCCGAAGCCTAAGCCGAAGCTAAGCTTGAGCCTAAGTCCAACATAAGCTTAAGCGCAAGCCTAAACTGAAGCCAAAGTCCAAGCCTAATCCTAGTCCTAAGCCTAAGTCTCAGCCCCAGCCTAAGCCTAAGCCTAAGCGTAAGCCTAAGTCCAAGCTCAAGCCTAACTTAAGGCTAAGCCAAAGCATAAATCCAAACCTCTCCTGAACCGCCTAATTAGCTATTCGATCCCAACCAAAGCTTCGGTTTAGTTCAAGGCTTCCCCGCACCCAATTGGGATTCCCTGATTCCCATAGAACACCGGAAATTCGGGCGCTAGCCTCGTCCACTTCTACTATAAAGGGGCCTACCCCCACTCAATTATCTGCCTTCGGCACCGGAACGTCCTTTAGCCGCCCCAGACTCAATTACGCCTAAAGGCGAAGGATAGGGATTTAAAACTTGGGAGCCTGAAGTTGGGGAGGTTGAGATAGGGAATAATGTTCACTATTAATACTATAGAAGCTTTGAAAATATTCAAATTCCAGGGATCAAGACACTGTCGGAAGAACAGACATCTGGTGCCGGTCTTCTTTCCTTCTTCACCGCTTCTGCTGTGGCCGTTGCTCGTCTCCTGTGAAGATGAACCCAATTTATAGTCAATTCTCTTCTACAAAATTTGATTCTAAATTCCTTTCCGTCATTTAGCATCCTTCCCCGACTCGCTTCCCCACCCCGCACTTGATCTATTCTCGCAAACGGGCCTTATTTCTGTTCTTATGATGTTTTACGCATTTATGTAAGTGTCGCAAGACTTACGCGACAATTCTCTAGTTTTCTAACCGTATTTGCTGCTGCTCTACTGAACCTCTTGAAATCGGTGTCCCACGACCCTACGTTTGGGGCCCCTCTATATTCTCTGAGCCATAACATTACTGCCTTTCAAATGTTTTGTCGATCCCGCAAACCCGTTCCCCCCTCATTTTATTCTGTAATCCCAATGTGCAACAATTGCCGATGTTTGTGCTCTTTGTTTGTGCTATTCAGTGTGTGAAATTTTTTGAGATCTATTTTTTATCGTCTTTGGACTGTTTTCGCATAAATAAATTAACATCTAAAGTTCAGCATTTGCATTTTACTCCTGGGCACAGACAAAAAACAGTTCCGTTTGGAAAAATCAATGTTTCTCACGCCATGAATTGATTAGAGGAGGTGTTTATGGGAAAAACTAGCTCGTTGAGACATCTATGTGGCAAAAAATAACATAAAAATTCGAACCAGGAGAAAGAGACAGAGAGAGAGAGAGAGAGAGAGAGAGAGAGAGAGAGAGAGAGAAAGGGGGTAAGGGAGCGAGGGCGAGAGAGATAGACCGAGAGATAGGGTGCAACAGCTTTAAAAATGGCTTGAATCCCGCCAGAGGGGTCTTTCATCACCTTTGTATTGGATGAAATACCGCACTGGGTGGACCCACGTCACTTTTTGTGGGGTTGGGTAAGGGATATCTATGTTCTTAAGGGTATCGAACTTAATCTTGTCTTGAAAATGGCTTGAATCCACCCAAAGGGGTCTTTCATCTCCAAAAATATATCGGATGAAACACCGCTCTAGGGTCATCCACGACACTTTCCGGGGTCGACACTAGCCTAAGCTTGGGCCTAACCTAAGCTACTGTTATACCGTACCTCCCCTTCAAATAGCCAAGGATACCCGGTGCCTTTGCACTTGAGATCAGCAACAAGTCACCGATAGCCCTGGCTACTTGGCGGGGCTTTTGGTATGGTTGGGGGGATGGTCGGTTGTGTAGCGCGGGGGGTAGGAATGGTGCTCGTCTGTCGATACTGGCCTTTTATACAGAGCCGAGGCCCGTGGTGCGAAAGTGCGGCCATCGCGCCCGAGGCGCCGCGAACCCGCCCATCTATCCAAAAAAAAACAGAGTGGTTTTTCACGTCGACCCATGCCGGGCTTTCGGCCCAGGCAAGGCCCAGCTGCGTCTGGGTGCCCATCTGCAGTCGGGCGCGCGTGAAAAAATAGTGCGGGTACAGTAATCAGGGGTTCAGCTGGGAAACTGGGGTAAACAAGCGGATATCAGGATTTGGGAAATTGGGAGGGTGTACGGAGATTAGGTACTGTTGAGACGAAATTTGCATTTTTTGAACAAAAAAACCCGATTGGGGATGGTTTGATTATTTGATTGATTTGATTTGTTTGATTTGATAGAGGTTAATAGCAGTCTATGTGGAATTGAAAGTGTAGGAAAGCTAGAACAAGACGCCGCCTTGATCCTTGGAAGCTTTGGAATTCTGATTCACCCCGGAAAAAGCAGACCGTGCCAAATTCTTAGAAGTAGCATGTTCCCGGGTAGCTTCACGACTTCCTGGCCTCTTTAACCCGGCAGTAGCTGCTCATCCACCTACCAACCCATTAGACCTTCCGGCATAAGGTGCTCCTCAACCCCATCTACATACTTTCAACTCTGTAACAAACATGTTTCCCACTTCATCGAACCCTCAAAAACATCCTCCAACACCCTACTCCTCCCCGGGCCCGGACTCAAAAACTAGCCGACCCATTTTGGCAACTTGCCGGCGCGCGCAGGACGCCGGGCCAGGGGTGGCTGGCATCATGCCAGGCATGAAGCCCATCCCCCCTCCCCCTGACCCCAAAGGGCATCGTCCATGTTTATGAAAGATGGACGATGTCGAGGAAAGGGATGGTACACCTGGGTTTCCCACCAACGGGCCCTCTCAGACCCCCATTTCGGCGCGTCGCTGAATCATCGCGGCCGGGGCATCGTCTAGTGAGAATCCGGGGTGCTGTGGTTGTGTTGATGATGGAAAAATTGTGGCGAATACCTAATGGGTCTCACAGGAGACGAGAAAAAAGAAAGTGAGAGAGAGAGAGAAAGAGAGAGAGAGAGAGAGAGAGAGAGAGAAGTGCCAGAGCAGAAAACTAGACAAAGCTATTGTGGAATTGGTCCATTGCATGCATGGGAAACTCTGGGAATGAGCTTTGGATCGTACGTTTCAGACTCAAAACAATCAAAACCTTCAGGAGCATCAAAACCCTAATTCTGGTCAAGCTCTTGCCCGGTTGGTTAACACATTGATTTCTCGCGAAATCAGCCTCGGAAGGCACGACCAAAAAGGAGACTTGCCGGGTGTCTAGGTGAAACTTCAAATATCATAAAAACCAGAAACGCTGTTTTAGAGCTAAGCCATGTAGCACATCGGAATCAGCGTTTCAAGCTGGTTAGAATAAGTCCAGGGCGAATTCTGACAAGCTCGACGGGCTGATGCGAATTTTCGAAAAAATCGACGTGGTCCCCCCTTTGTTCCAAAACGTCAAAAAGTGACCATTTCGAAAAACCCTAGAAATTAAACCAGGGCCACCCCTGTTCGTAGCTAGACTTTTTCAGCACTATTTTCGATGCTCTTTTAGGTGCAGAATTAAAATCGTTTTCGCAAGGTTGATTTCTCGTGAAATTAGCCTTGGAAGGTACCGCTGATGGCGGGCCTCACATGAATGGTTGACAATTGGTTTGTTGAAAATCGAGGGCATGCTTTTCTGAATTTTGTTTGTGGTGTTTGATAATTTCCGCTTTGCACGCACAACACATTCTTTATTCAGGATTGTCTTCGAAGTTTCATATCCATACAATAGCCGGTTTGTCGTGTTGAGATGCACATTCTGTTTTGGGGTCGTGCCGTCGTGCCGTTTAGAACTGGGCGAAACCGGCTTGGAGAAGCAAAATATAGGCTGAATTATTTGCATTGACATCGTAGAGGGGGTAGAATTCAGGGGTGAATACATTTAAAGTCACGACATTGGTTGAAATACAGAGTTACCGAGGGATGTGTAATTCGAAAAATGGGCAAGTTGTTGCTACAAGATATGTCAAGGTTGGTTGCATCATAAAATTAAAAACGGTGGGTTTTGTTAAACTAGGTCAGCGGAAATATAAAAGCATAAAAATGGCGTACAACCTTGATGTAAAAGCTCAACCGGTTGTAGAATACGTAGTTTTAGTTCGTGGAGACGGATTGGATTCTTGAATTAGCATTTGCGCGATCGGCGAGCCCGGAATTTTTGCTTCTCGAGCTGGGCGAGCTCCTTCAGCTTCTGAGCCTTCCATTCGTCTTGTTCCTTCCGGTCTTCCTCCGTCGTATCGTCGACAATGTTCCAAGTCTCGCGCATTTGCTCGGTGGTCTGACCCTTTAGGGTGTCGGCGATGGCTTCGCAACCCCTTAAAAAAGGAAGTACCTTAAAATCTAAAGTTTTAAATTACCTGTGTAGCAGGGATCCAATTTTCAAGGCATCAGCGACGGTGACAAGCTGTAGCAGTTGCTGCGGTGTGCATTTGTTCATGTATTTTCGTTGCCATCTAAAAATAGTTGATAAAATTGTTGTAAAAAGAGAAAATTTTTAACAGTGGAAAACTACAAATTAAAGCTACCTGATCATGGCTGAAGGACGAAGAGGGAACCATCCAACACGGTCGTCCCAATGGTGCGGCATCCTCTTATGGTAGTCGCACCATTCCACAATAAGCTTCATCATCTCGCTGGTTACCTATAAGCGTTGAATATGCACGGAGCATCTTCTTCAGGCTTCTCCTCATCCCCAAACCCCCTCAAATTTGGCTATTTACAGCGTATTACACTTTTTTCCTCTCTCCAAGACCCACCTCCATCTTCGGGACCCTCCCCCTCCCAGCTTCTGCTCCCGAATCATCTCTCCAATTTTGACAGAGTGCAGACAGGCCGCTTTTTCCATCGTGAACTCGTCGCCGTCGCTGGAGATGAAGCGGTACAGCTGGCAATCTTCGCTGTGCTTTGAGCTTTCAGGCATATCCTCGGCCACACAGGCCTCCTCAGAATCGGACATATTGCTGGAATTTGCGGATGAGCATCAATAAAATTAAAAATTCTTAAAGATGCAAAAAATTATAGCTTCAAAATTCAGGCACCTTTTAGCTAAGATTTCCGGGTTTGATAACAAAAATTCAAGATTATATAGCCACATTAATGGGGCATATTCGTAAAAATTAATAAAATAGAAATATCAATATATGCAAAACATAAATAATCAGAAGCATCAAACTTCCAAGTCCAAAAACCCATTATCCTCTATCAACAACGATTTATTTCAACAAATCAAAAAAAAGTCAGTGGGGATAAAGGCAGAAAAAGAAAAACAAGAAGCAATAGGAGATAACGAAGATATATTTATTTCCCTATCGGATGCCATCAGCAACAACTCGATTTGAAAATGACCTAATGCAGAATGGTGAGCATAATTAAAGGGTGGCTGGTTATTTCCTAGAAGCATTTTAGGTGAAATCAAAGTAACTGGTATGACAGTTTGAGCAATGTAAATTATCAGAGCCGTTTATAGGGAAACACGGGATGAAATTCGGAGAGGGTCTTGGCCTCTTTAGCCCCTTATCAATCTATGGAAGCACAAAATTTGGAGACCTATTTCCCGGGAGAGGAAGAGCTATACTGGGTGTCGCAAAAAACGGCTCGTGCGGTCTGGAAGAAGGTTGGATTGGTATGATTTTTATAGCATTCGAAAGCTCTTAGAAAGGTGAGAAAATCTGCAAAATTTGTTTTCAAATTAATTATTGTCTTCATCGAATTAAGGCTAAAAAGCGCGTATTTGCAAGAATTTAACAAACTGTTTTTGCGTAAATTTGCATTTTTTTTTTACTTTTACGATCACAAAAATACTTAATCTCAGAAATTAAAACAGCGTGTTTTGCTCGCCATTTTCAGAGCTTTCGGCAGATACTAAAACCGTAAAAATTCGCTATTTCTACGAACCACTCGATGGATTTTTTGGGACATCCAGCATATGACAAAGCATTGATCACGAGTTCAGGGCTGTCAAAAGAGGAGAGTTTCGGTGGAGAATGAAGGTTTATGGGCTGTGAGAGGGGACTGGGCGGAGAATCATGTTCGGTGGATCGGTGGCGGAAGCGAGACGGTCAGAGCAATTAGACCTCGCGACAATTACCCAAGAAAAAGTTTAATGTTGGAGTTAAGGGTTGACTTTCAAACTAGTAAAACTCGAAAAACGTGAAGAGTAAGGTATTGAAAATTGGGCTGACTTAGGAACGCGCGACATAACCATGTTGACTGATCAGGTTTCGGAGGGGGTTGGATAAGGCGAATGTGTGACTGTGGCATTAAGCATCATCAAGGGCGAGCTTTTAGGTCATGAATATGTGACTTAAAAGTGATAGCTATCGAAATTTAAATAAAGAAATTTTTGCCAAAGTTCGGGCAGGGAAAGGGAAAGCGGGTACAGTAATACCCGTAATGCGAATCGAAGATAACAAGATTAATTTAGTTCTTTTCCGGTTCCGGGACTGTTTGGCCGTGCTTTTCCGCGTATTGCTTGGCAGGCATTCCGCCGCCGAGGGCCGTGGAGTGGGGGTAGATTTGAGCACAAGCTCGTCGGAGCTCGGAGATCTAGAAATTTGCATAAGAGGGCTAAAATCAAATTACATACCTCATCACTACTCCAGTCTCCTAGGACTCCGATCGTGACCAGCTCGTACAGCTTCAAGACGTCTTTCAATTTGAACTTGCTGAAAAAGTACTAATTTTAGTTGTTGACCAGGGTTGAAAAGCCGCTTCGCGACTTTTCAACCCTGGCCCCGTCTTACCCCCATACTTCGTAACTTTGCATAAACACCTGAATTCCTGTGCAGATAAATGAAAAACGCATCCTCTCTCCCATTATATAGGCTTCCCCCACTTCCGGTGCATGCTAATCGATTCCTAACAAAGAGGCCGGGCGAGTTTTTCACAAAAACTTAATTTTAATATCGAAAACAGCTGATTTTTAAAAATCTCAGATGCGTGCATTCGTGTCATGAACATTACGCATCTAATGACGTATCATACGTACCTTTAACTTCCTCCCCTATTGAGATACGACTGGAACATACGGACGGAAGTTGCATGCAAATGCACACACACACACACACACACACACACACACACACACAAACACTATTTTTTTATATATAGTAGGATAGTGAGTATACCTTTGCAATGGCTTTCCATTAACTTCAACATTCTTTAAGTGGAACATCACGCGCTCCTTGACAGCGGAAGCGCTGCTAGGATTCAACAGAGTTGAGCCCTCCCAATCTTAAAATCAGAAAATATTTGGATTTTGCGACAACACGTACATGAAATCCAGGCTTTCCCGACATCCTGATGTTTTTGGATGTACTCATCGTTGTACTTCACGGGGTCGAAATCTTTCGGGTAGAAGCTCTGAATCAGGAATTGACGGTAATGCCCTTCCTCGCTTACCTTTGCCCAAGCGCCAATCAGCAATCCAATCGTACCCTCTTGCTGATTCTCCGCCAAGAATTGGTGGAGTTTCAGCGTTGCCAAGTGGACGTGAGGGTGGTCTGGGTTTACCTTCTTTGCCGCCAAGAGGCATTGGATCATGAGAAGCGGTCTCTTCTAAAAAATAAAAAATGGCTTGTCGTTTCAGAAGAATTTTACCTTTCGATGATAGACATCGAATGCCAAGATGTTTCCGGAGACCTTATCGCATCCATAGCGAAGGACGGGAGAAATGAACCTTAAAATATAAACTTCATACTCGAGAAGAAGGGTTTTTATAGTTTAAGGCATCCATTTTATTATGACTTACTTTGCAGCCTCCTTAAGCGGGTCCTCAGTCTTCAAAAGCACCTCCCCATCAATATCCTCCCCAACCGGCTCAATCCCCTCTTCTCGCTTCTGTAACATCATGATTACCCCCAACTTTTCCTATTTTCCGTACCGGTGCCGGCTTCTGGGTCTGCCCCTTCTTCTCCGCCTCCTCCCTCAGCTGCTGCTTCTTTTGTTTGCGCTTCTAAAAAATAGGAACAAGTGATTGGGATAGGAGGGTGTTACCAATTTCTTGAGTTCTTCGGGTGACATGTTTTCTTCGAGGCCATTTTGCTTGAAGATGTCTTGTGGCCGGTCATGCATTCGGAGGTAGATCTAAATCAAAAATTAAATATATAAGTTAAAATCCAACCTTTGTAGCAAGCTTCGAGATCTTGTAATACCAGCTGTTTTTCCTCAAATGATCCTCCAAGCGTAGGAGCTCGATGTAAGACGTGAGGGTTGTTTTTCGTAAACAATACGTGTGGAAATCGAACTGATCGTCCGTGATGCTGATGAAATGCTAAAACAACAAATAATTCACTGTTTTAAGCCTTCTAACATACCGCTTCAACTTGATGGCATTTCCTGAGAGCGTCCCCATATTTTCCTTTCGCCATGTACGCCTTGCACTGCTCGATGGCGTACCACATGCACTGCATCTCGTTCAGCGTCACGGAGGCGTTCACGCCTTCCTAAAAAAATTGCGTAATTATGCTATTCAAAACCCAGCATGCTTTTAGGTACACACCCTCGCAATCAATTCTTTGTTTAGTCATTCAAATTCAGTTTAGAAATTAGACAAATTCGGGGGTAATACATGCGCTTCAAAAACTACCGCTAGAAATGCTTACTACGGAATCCTAAAACACAAGGTTACGATAAGGAAAACTGGTTTTGCATACCCGCGTGAACTTCGCACACATTGCTTCGGCTTCGTCAACCAACGAGACGCGGAGAAGGTACTTTGCGCATTTGCTGTTAAGGTATCTAAACGGAATTGATGGATTTTTGAGGTCTTCGATACCTATCAGCCGTATCAAATGATTGGGCAAACTCCATAACATCGGCGGCAGCGTATAGGTTCCCTTGATGCTAAAAATCATCAAGGTCTATGGATTTCTGATCTCCAAATACCTTCAAAATCTTGGCCTTGGCCATATAGAGATCAATCATGTTCGGCGTATGAGTGATGGCGCGATCAATGAATTCCATGGCTAGTTGGTACTTTCCGACCCTGAAATGTGCATATAATGGTATGAAACCGTGTTGCTTACTTGTCATAGTGTTGAGCAATCAAGTAATAAAGCCACATGGAGGTAGTCGGTGTTTCCCGGTAATCATCGAGGTCTAAAAACGTCTAAAGACGAGGTTCAGAAATTAGCTACCTGACAAACAAGCCTTTGCATAGCCCTTCTTATCAATCTTCGATGCAAAATCTTTGAGCATATTTTCCAAAATGGCCACTTTTGAGGGGAACTGAAAATGAGCGGTGCGATGATAACACCAATTTCCCAGAAATACCTTATAAATCGGGACCAAGCTCTTGAACAATGAGGGAACACCTTTTCGGAGTAACAAGAGCACCCAGTTGAATACCCTGGAATAGATGGCATAATGGATTTAATAGTCGAAGAATCGCACCTGACTTTGAAGCCCTCATCTTGAATGAAATAGAGCGGCAGTATCTGGGGCAACGTTGCCATGGGTAACCGCTCGGCGAACGAGTCGTAGAGCCGCAGCCTTTTGTCTGTGTCGCCTGAAGAGATGGGAGAGGTAATTAGTGGATGGATGGGTAACGAAAGAACCTTCAGTGAATCCAAGGGCCGCCTCTAATTGTTGATAGTAAAAGCCGTTTTCGGGGTTTCGGGTGATCAGCCTTTCATAGACCTTGGAAGCAGCTTCTTTGTTGTTGAGGAGCATTAGGATTTGGGCTGAAAATTTGTGATATTTGGATTATGCTAATTTATAGCTAGTTAATTCAAATTTCGTCATTTCCAGAGTTTTGCTTGCTGAAAATCAGGTTGATATGGCAATTCCAGGTTTTGAAACCCCCAAAAAAACTTTAACGCCGAAACAATCATAAAAATGTTTTAGCAAAAAAAGAAATTAGTAAAAATGACCCTAATTATTCGTTACAAATTTCAGATTTAATTACTTACCTCTATTCTCCAAATATGCCAGCTTATCGACAACCAATGTCGAATTCTGCTCCAAATGCTCCAGAGCTTCTTGATACTTTCCGGATTCCCTAAAAATAGATATTTACATTAAGAGTAAGGTTCCTACTTCAGAATCATAATCTGGTAAAGTATCAACTCCGATCGGGAGAAAAACTCGATCTTCTGCTTGTTGTCGTTCTTGAATTGAGGCTATAAATGAAGATTTTAAAGATACTAATGATTTTTACTACCGGCTCGCATTTCAGGTACTCCTCAATAATATTGAATGCCAAGTCGTATTCCTTAAGGAGATGCAAAGCCGTCGCGTAGCCGTACCAGGAAATGCTTTGTGGCCTGAGGCTTAGAAGTTTGAAGCGGGTGTCCTGGAATAATTTTTGGCTCATCCTCAAGAAGTTCAGCTTACCTTGTATCCATCAAAATCGCGGACTTGGATCTGGAGTAGACAAAGGTCTCGAAGAATCTGTTGATTCAGCTCGTCCCGTTTTAGGGCTTGCTTGTAGGCCACCAGCGCCTCATCATACTTCTTATGTTGACGCAACACCAAGCCGTACACGTGCCAGCAGACGTAGGAGCCGATATCTCGCTTCAGTCCGAGCTTGACGGTCTCCAAGGCTTCCAACTCCTTACCCAAGCAGTTCAGTATCAAACCCCTCATGGAAAGGGTTTCTGAAATTGCTTAATTAGCATCTTTGATTATTGCAAACCTCCGTGTTCGGCAAAGTCCTTCTTTTCCAAGATTTGCTTGCACAGCTTTAGGCCGGTTTTGAACTGCTTGTTCTCGTAGCATTTCTGAAATAGGTCAGAATATAGAGGATCTTCGTCTGGTACAAGTTTTGTAGAGCTTTTTAAGGATAAAAATGGTATAAGGTATGATTTTTTTTATTAATCTTGGACCTACCACAATCCTCCTGAACACGGCTAGCTCCTTTTGCGGCAACGGCTGGCTGCTGCTCGTCTTCGGCATGTTTCCACCAGTTTGGCTGGCCGCCTGGGTGCTGCTGGCCGCCGCCGCAGGCTTTTGCGCCGAGGCGGCCGCCGTTTTGCCCTTTCGTTGCTTGGTCATCGGGCTGGAATCGTGGATTTGCACAATTTAAATGAATTAACGACAAAATTTGAATGATAGATACATAGAAAAAGTTTTGAGAAATAATTTAAGCGTACGTGCATTTTGAAAAAGTTATTTATTTTATTTTATCCTCGCTTTAAGGGATACTGGTTTTCAAATTTGCATAAAACATTCAATATACATTGCATAAACCGGCTCTTTTCTAAGCTTACAAAGTGTGGTAGCGTAATAAATAGAAAAGTTGCAATAAAATCTTGAGAAATTCCCAGCTTTAAAACCCATCTATCTCGTTGCATCATTCTGAAAAAACCTAACGAACCCCTCTAGCCTAATTAGCATAAGCTATATTTCGAATTAAACCCCAATTTGCATAAATATTTGCTAAGGAAAGTGTAAAAATTTGCGCGAAGAAGAATAATCCATAGCGACTGGCATCTGCCCCATCCACCCCACACCAAAAGACCCCGAATCGATGGCTAGATGTAGGGCACCAATGTTCATTAGTGTCGCTAATAAATGGCGGTAGATTGTTTATTTCAAACCAGCTCCCTTGAAGATAAATAGGAATTTGCATGGAGTGGTGAGAGGGGATGGGGGTGGGAGAGCGCGTTGTTGAGGTGTACGGAGGTTTTGTTCGTACTTGATGGGACGGTGTATCGCTGCAGCTAATCTGGCCATTTTCAAATAACAGCCAGGATGGCGGGACGGGGGATAACGCCACGAATTCGGGGTTGACGCAAAACGAGGATTTAGTATTGGTAAAACGGGTATTTAGTGAAAGTTTTTCAGAACCGAAAAAGAAAGATAAGTATAGAAGGAGAAAAGGGACCTTCAGGTAAAGCAAAAACAAGATTTTTGTAGTAACATTTATACAAAATACAATTTTTATTCAGCCACTTCTCGTGGGGGCCATTCCGGAGCTGGTTGTGATGGTTCCGGAGTAGCTGCCGTGGCTTCCTTCATTGTTAAAACATGTTCTAGCTTTTGCGCTAGGCTTTTTATTACCTAAATTTCCGTTTAAAAATGAAACCTAGCCAAACCGGTGGTACTTTATTAGCATTTTCATATTCCTTATATTTATCAAGGAGTGCCATGGACATTTCGTGTTTCCCCGCTTTACCAGTGGATATTGCGAAGTTTAAAATCGTCTGAAAATGGTAGTTTACATAAAAATTTGGAAATACCTGTGCATTTGGCTTCAGGCTCATCGCTTTAACATACGCTTTCTCCGCATTTGCCGGGTCCTGCATAGCGCTTAGAACAACTATAAATATAAAGTTTTATCGAAGAATTTAAAGATACCAGCTAGAGCTCCAAAAACTTGTGGATTCCTGGGGCTCAGCGCCATGGCAGCAGCTAGAAAATGGTATGCAGAACAGTACTGTTGCATTGCGTTATGGACGAGGCCGAGGTTGTAGAGAATGCGATGTTCAAGAGGACAAAGATAGGCTGCCTAAAAGTATACTTAACTTCGAAACCGAACATTAAAAATCAATACCTTTTTTAGACACGAAATTGCCGCCACATATTTCCCCTTTGCAAATAAACAAACGCCAATATTATTCCATAAACATCCATTGTAATCGCACTTCTCGGCAGCTACTCGATACTTATTGAGTGCGACCTCGTGATCCCCATGGCTTTGCATGACACTGCCTCAAATTCTCAGAAAATACCTATTGAAAGTCTATAAAGTACCAGCAGCCAAGATACTTGGTGCATGTGCTGGATCAAAGCTCAGGGCCCTCCCGAACATTGCAAAGGCTTGCTCCTCACTTCCGGCTCTTAGGTAGAGCATACCGAGATTTGACATGAGCTCGATGTTTTCGGGCTCCATCTGGAAGGCTTTAGATGTGTATGCGTTACAGCTATACCTCAATTGCTTTCCTATACGTCTGAATTGCTGCCTGAATCTCTCCAAGTTGGGTAAAAAGCTTGGCGAGGAAGATGAGGAGCTCTAGGATGAATTAGCATACGAAGCTTCGAGAAGTCCTCACCAGATGAGTGATGCAAAACTGGCGCGTTTAATAAAATATCTTTAGCCTTCGTGGCGGGATCGAATAGGTTAGTATCGAGGTGGTAGACCGCTCTGGCCAGCCAGAAATAAGCTTTCTAGACCAAGGTATAGCAATATATATTCAAGTTTTACATACATAATTCATTTTGTCTAGATGTACAGCTCTTTCCAAAAATTCCACGGCTGTTGTATGATTTCCTTGGAGCAACTGAACTCTTCCAATTTGCATAATGTATCTAAAAATGTCTAGACTTTTTAAAAAAATTGAATTTTACTTTGGATCACTAGAATTCAACGCCAATCCTTTATTACACCATTCCAAACAACCCTCAAGGTCACATTCCTCCCTAAATATTCAAATGTTTACGCAGTTCTGCTAAAATATTACCTGCAAATAACCGATCGTATGTAAATTGCATAATCACATTCTCCTTTAAAAGTATCCATCAGCTCCTAAAAGCTCCAGCTCGAAAACTAGACGAAAACTGGACCTACGCTAATCAACTCTTTACACCCATCATAGTCTTTTTGAGTATATAATTGATGTAGCAATGTGTTATATCGATCGACATTGACCAATTCGATCGATTTTCCAACGGCTCTTCTAAATCTATTTTGTATATAGCGATTTTTGCATCTCTAAAACCTGATAATTTCCTCCTGAAGCTGCTGAGCGATTTTCTCTTGCTCATTCGGATCCCCGGCCTCTCCGGCGGCTTCTTCGTGATCTTCTGGGTCAACTTGGCTCATTTTCCACTGCAAAATAAGCTTATACCAGGGTTGAAAAGCCGCTTCGCGACTTCTGATCCCATGATATTCTTCACTTTACATCATTTTCCCGAATTCAGGTGGCAAAAAATGAAAACGCTGCCTCTCTCCGATTATATAGGCTATCATCACTTCCGGTGTATGTTAATTTTTCCTAACAAGGGGTTCCCGAAATTTTACAAAACTTAAATTTAACGTTAATGTTGTTTTGTAAATCTTAGAGTGTGCAGTCTCTCCAGACCATTGCGCACCTATGACGTTCATACATCGCTAACTACCCTCCTTTTGAGATACTACTGGAACCGCTGCGGAAGTTGCATGCAGTGGCACACACACACCACCTTTTTTTATTTGTAGGATAGGGGGTGCCGAGCGTACCAGTGCATATTGTGTAATAATAAAAGGGCAAGCAGGTGGAAATCAGGGTTGGAGGCGCCGAATTCGTGGGCAAGCAGCCTCGCAGGGGTTGCTATGGGGATGGATGATGGCTTGAGCTTTTGCATTGGAACGGAAAGATCAAAATTTGATTGAAAGAAAACGGAATTAATTTTTGGGAATTAAAAAAGTGGACAATGCTAATTAGTGCGTGCTAATTGTAATGCTTACCGCGATAAAGGCAGAAATTTTCGGTAAGAAATAGTTTTTCCTGACAATCCGCTACAAAAAAAAAGAGAAAATGAATTTGCAGCGATAAGCGTATATTTTGATCACATCTGGATGAAAAAAAAACAGAGCATCAATTTGCGCAATTTTGGAATAAAAAAAAATTCTTCGTTGATCTTTCTGGCATCGGTCTAAAATATTTTTGTTCAAATTCAAAGATCAAATTAGCAAAACTACATTTTTGCCAGGAAATGACGAATTTTCATCATTTCCAAAAACTATGTTTGCTATCAAGAAAGCAATGCTAATGAACCCAGCAATTATAGGTTATTTCCGGAGGCCGCATGGCTGCTTTAAAACCCGATTTCAAAGAGATTCCAGAGAACTTCAAGAGCATATTCAAATCGCAAAACACCGAATTAAAATAGAAGCACAAAAATAACAATAAAATGTTGTGTTGTGGAATATTATTATGCGGCGTCCCGGCGGTTTTGGAGAGTCGTTTTGGCTGCTATGGCGACTTCACGCGAGGTGATGCCGAAAAAACGGCGTGTCCGGAGCAGCTGGGCAGATTTTGGGTGCGGGCGGCCGATAGAAATACATAACTAAATGTAAATAATCTGGATTCTTAGCTTTAAAAATTATGTTTCGTAAAATTATCAATAATTTAAGCTTGTGTGATTGAATGCTACTCATTTATTGAAGAATATTGATAATCCTTCATTTTTTCTTCATTACTCGGTTCTTTTCAGACCAATAAAACACTCAAAAAGCACAACTCGCCTTTCCATTTCTTTCCGGTCTAATAATTGCCCGTCTGCACGACTTCCCCCTCCCCCTAGAGGCCCCTTTCCGGTTGCCAATTCTTTTTTGTTTCTTTTCTCCATCTTTTTCTCCCCCTTGCAACTGCCTATAAATTACGGCAGCTACAAATCTCTGTTTATATTTTGATTGGGGGACGGCTTCCGGAAATTGGGTGCATTTTTAGACGGCCGAGCCAAATTTGGCAACAATTTATTGGTAATGAACGGGCATGCCGGGGGCGGTCGATTTTCTTTCGGCTTTTTGGGTGTAATTAGGGCGGAAGAGGAGATTTTTGAACGTTCTACGGAGTTGGGGGAAAGGTATTTTGATGGTCACTACATAGTGATTCAGAGATTATTCTTTGATTTAACGAAATTAAAGTTTTAGCTTAAACCTACCCGAAGCCGAAGCCTAAATCTAAGCCTAAGACTAGACCTAAGCGTGAGCCTCAGCTTAACCTAGAGTCCAGCCGAGAGACTTGATTGTTTTGATTCATTCAATTTTCACAATTTTAGGTTGTCTTTCATTTCTAAAAATATTTCTCATTTCAGCCCTCAAAATGACCTCCCCATTTTGAAGCTTATAAGAACGGCTCACAGCTTTCCCTAACCCCTCGATAATCCACGATAACACACGCACGAACAGGCAGACCCCGGAACTATCCTTTTCTTTTTCTCCTTTTCCCTCTCTATTTATTTCACAAGAAACCCCCAACTAAACTCAATCCTTCACCTTTCCTTACCGCCTTCCGACTTTTCTGTTTAATTAAAATGCACCCATGCTCTAAATCCAGCCGCCACATTCATTCCCCCCTTATTTCGCGCCGAAAGGTAATTTCGCCAGATTGCCCCCGCGAGGTAGCACCTAAAAAACCGTTTGCTCAAGTGTTGCGCGTTTAAAATTAAGGGCGCCGCGTTTAATTAAAGTTAATTGGGGATCCGCGTGTTCGGATGAGGGGGGGGGGGCAACGGATTTTGGTCTTTTCAGGGATGGCTGGAGGTGACGAATGTGAAATTTGGGCATGCATTTTGAAAGGCAGGGGGGTGGAATGTTGATTTTTAATTCAGGGAAGGGGACGGAATTTTATTGGATTTCTCGATTTTTGAGTATGTTCTATTTAAAAAAAATCTTAGAAAACGGGAGGTCACCTTCAAAAAGCCACTTTAGTTTTCATTACGCTATTTCCCATCGTCCTCATTTTACAATAAACTACAGTTTTAAACATTTTAAAGGTGTGTTTCCTCTTGTTCGCTCACTGCCTCCCTCGTTCTCTCTCTCTCTCTCTCTCTCTCTCTCTCTCTCCCCATGCCACTCTCGCTCTCTCGCTCTGTCTCTCTCGCTATCTCTCTGTCTCTGTCTCGTATCTCTCTGTTTCAGTCAGTCCGTCTCTTTCTCTCACACTGTCTTTCTATTTATCTCTCTCGCTCTATCTTTCTCCACATCTCTCACTCCTTTTCCCTATCTCTCTTTCTCTCTGTTATTCTCCCTGAATTTTACAACTCAAACCCATTTCAATAAATTTCTAAAATCACTTGCAATATCCCTAAATGACGCCTCATGTCCTATCACGTTTTTCTCATTGTTCCACTCGAAAACTAACGACGTGCTGTCGTTTCGGGGTGTGATGGTGGTGTGCGTGAGGCCTTCCTTACGTGGCCGTCCCGAAAATGTCTGCGCAAATATGGGGCGGACACGGTCCTCTATCCCAACTGCGGGGGGGGGTCTCAAATCCGTCCCTTTCCCATCGACAGCCACCCCATCAACACAACAATAACCCATTAGAAGTTTTGTAAATAGTTTTTGTGTTCGGCGAGGGGAGAGGCGGGGGGGATTGGGTGTCGATTCGTGACTGATGTCGGAATTTGGTAGGCCCTCGGGGGTGGGGATGTCATTCTGATATTTGGTTTTTGGTGTTCGGCTTATTTTTGAGGCAAGATAAATTTTATAGTGGTAATTTTGCATGAGTAAATATTAAAATTAGCATTATTGAAGCAAGAAGCGATAATTTTTGCGTTTTCTGAGCTGTCTATAGGCTTATCATTGTTTTAGAGTTTTTCTAACGTTTCTGAAGGTCTTTTGAAGCTTTGATAATGTAAAGTAAAGATCATTAAGCCTAAACTAGTAATTTTAAAGTTTCATAAACATTTGATTAGGTTCCTCCGATTTCCGAGACGCGGTAACTTTATCAAGGCTGGTTTGAAGATATGGTCCTTTTAAATTTACCTTCCAAGTTTAGAGGGGGAACTTTTGTGTTACAATGAACATCGTAAGCCTGCCAAATTTTATAAACTTTTGGATATTACAATTCTGGATCCAAAAAAGACCTTTTCCTCCTAATTTTTGCACTTTGCCCTCTCAAAAATTCATTTCTCAAATCCTAATGAATCCCATAAATCCTCAATTTTCCCAGACGTGCAGCAACGCTCAAACAAAATATCCTCCCTTTTATATAAAAAGAGAAAAGATCAAACCCACCCATTAGTCTTCCTCCTCCCCCATCCAACTTCCGGTCCCCACACCGAACATCTTCCTCCCAAAAAAAAATTCATAAAACCATCACCTCATACCCCGAAACTATTCTTTTGTCTATCCTCTTTTTCCATTCCCGTCCCCCCGATTGGCCCCCTCAAATTTGCTCAACTGTCCCGGCTGCCTCTAAATTCCGCAGCACCCATTTGCCAACATTTTTGGGGTGGCTGCACGCGACCTCATTAACCGGAACATCTGCCGAATATGGCTGAAAATTGCGAATAGCCGATCCAACGTGATCGTGAAGGCTTTAACCTCATTAATTTTTGAGCTGGTTGGGCTGATTTCAGCTGTTCAGACGGGGTAGGATACAAGGGGTATACCTAGAAATATAGAGGTCAACAAGGTTTTGGGCTACGCGAAAGTTGCAGGGTTACGGTAAATATCTAGAAATTTAGCGTAAAAATAAATATCAGGCTACTCCAAAAGCTCCGGAAAAACCGCAAATGCTTAAGACATCTTTAAGCCCAATATTTTTGTGTTTAATTCAATTCCGTTGTTTAAAAATTTGTGGGTTTACCCTTCCCAACTTTGCAATTATCTATTTATAAGCTACGTGTAAGTCCCCGGCTTCGCGGAGGTCGTAGGGTCGTGAGTTGCTTATCAAGAAATTTTAACTTCAAAATAATCGTTCCCGCGCCTCCAAATTCCAACAAAAACCGGAACTGGGCCAACTTTCTATAATCCCAGTTCCATTACCTAATTAAGCTGCGCTATTTGCAAATTATCAGAATTTACAGTCACCACCTTTACGGCCGCTTCTCAAGTCATTTATCACTAGGCTATCAAACTCTGCAACAAATTCCTTTGAAATCACGTAAAAAGCCCCGCTTTTGTCCCCCAAAACTGAGTCCAAAATTCGCCACCTTCCCCATGACGTCCGAAAATTGAGATATTTTGTGAGCTTTGCTGATATTTTGAGAAACGCATCCCCTTCCCGTCAATCGTTTTGTCTGGTGTATCGCGATTTTAAGAAATCCAGTGCCATATTCGCTTTTGCAGAAACCCAGGCTTTCCCTTCCGCTTCTCCCCCGTATATCTCCAGC